CACCCACTACAACACCCAGCTTTTTTTTTTTTTTTTGATTGCAGCCGTCATTGTTGTTTGGGGGACTTCAGGCTGGATTCGAACCTGCCAGCTCTAGTGTATGTGGCTGGCGCTCTAGCCGCTTGAGCTATAGGCGCCGAGCCAACACACACACATATTTTTAAAAGAGAAATAGGTCACTGGAGCAAAATGTTAACAAAGGTGACTAGGGGGAAATTATAGGAATCAGTTCCTTATAACTGGTTATTACAAATCAGTTGTAATATTCTGGCAACCTATAGGGTTTTACTTTTTCAAGAAGTTTGATTGAAAGAATAAGTGTTTCCTCTTTCCTTTGAGCAAGTTTTTTTTTTTTTTTTTTTTTTTTTTTGAGGCAGATTCTCAAGTTGTCACCTTGCCCTGGCATCATAGCTCCACAGCAACCTCCAACTCTTGGGCTCAAGGGATCCTCTTGTCTCAGTTTTGCTATTTTTAGTAGAGACAGGTCTTACTCTTGCTCAGGATGATCTCAAACCTATAAGCTCAAGCAATCCACCTACCTTGGCCTCCCAGAGTGCTAGAATTACAGGCGCTGAGCCACCGCACCTGGCCTAGATATCTTCTAAGCCAGGCATCCTCAAACTACGGCCCGCAGGCCACTTGCAGTCCACCTAGGACATTTATCCAGCCCGCCAGATGTTTTTGCCACCACTGCCTGTCCTGCTTAGCAGCCAACTCGTCCCAGGGCCCACAGTTTGGCCCTCCAACAGTCTGAGGGACAGTGAACTGGCCCTCTGTTTAAAAAGTTTGAGGACCCCTGTTCTAAGCTCTGCCCTCTATTGACTGAGTAGACTTGGGCAAGAGATGGGGACATCTATCCCATTACAGAGGAAATGGTACAGATAATATTGAGATGCAAAAATATTTAGCATATGTTGCTAAGTTGGAAGTGGGGAGAGACTGCAAAGCATGTGTGCAGCATGTTTTATAGGAATGTTGGGAAGGACATTCAGTGAAATATTAACATGGTTTTCTCTAAAATTTGTCATTTCTGGTGATTAAAATAGTTATGTATATCTTTATTTTCATGTTTTCTGCAGTTTGTTTCTGTATGTGTGAAATGAAGGATAAAAGCTAGTCTGTATCTTTAGTATGTCTTTGTGAAAATGTGTATTTCGTAGTAATTACTATAGCTCAGCACATAGTTATTATTTTATTATTAAGCAGTTTCTCTTGTGGAAAGTGACTCTAAATATTTGAAAACTTCAAACTTGAAAGTAGATAAGTATTACAGAAAAATATTCCTCTATTCCCACAGGAAATAGGTGCATTTTCTGTCTTGTCTTCTTCTCAAACTATCAGAAGAGGTCCTGTAAAACTTTATTGTTTCTGCAAGGCCTGCCAGAAAGACTTCCTAGCCTTGTGTAGATATTTAGATTCATGGGACAGGCCACACTTTGTTCCAGTCTCCTCAGAAGGATAAAAGACAAGAAAACCAGCAAGGGCAGTGTCAGGTGTTTCCTCTTCAAAAGAAGTCCATGCAACTACCCAGGGCCTCCTCAGGCCCCTCAGTGACAGCTCAGATGCAAGACAGGGTTCTCAAATGTAGATGTGAGGTCCACCTTGGCTTAGAAGCCCCGGGCTGCATAGTGCCAGTATCTCTTTTAACCATCTGAGAGGGACAGCTTCCAGGGTCTCCATGACTGCACATGGCCAGCTACAAGAGCCACCGCTCTCAGGAAAGGACAGAGTTATTGCTTTCAACCCCGTACCTATAACTCATTCACATTCTTTCCAGTCCAGTACAGTCTACCAGGTCAGTGGTCACTTTTACCATAAGCAATGTTTCCACTATAATACAAGTGAGACTCCTTATCATTTTTCTAGGGGAACCAGTAAAGGAAGTTAAATCAAGGTGGTATTTGTGCCAGCAAAGGCAATGAGTTTTTTGATTGTGTTTTTTCCTGCAACTCTTAACTTACAACTAAATTCAACCTAAAGTAAGTCAGTTATGATTAATATCTGCATTTCAGTATTTCGGGGATATTACTTATACCATAAACAGTATGCTAATTTGAGAGCAAATAATAATTTGTTTTTATTCTCTATCTTTAGACAAAATTTGACAGAAAGGGAAACGTTACTTCTTTTGGTGAGTATCTTTCTTCTAAACCACTTTTTAAAATGGTGAATCTGATGAAAATCAAGAAATTATAGTGTTTTGAATAGCGTATTCTTTGTGTATGCAGGTGTGTTGAAGGAGATCTTTCTTCAGCATTTGTCTATCAGTCCTAATTGGAACTGGCAATACTCAGACTGTGCGTATTCTCCCAGAATTGCTTTCTTCTGGCAGAAGACACTTCGCTATATCAGAATATGAAAGGAATATTTTGGAAGTAGGGGCTGGCATAGAGCTGGAGCACAGAGACACACACACTCTCTTTTCCCTTTTGTTTCCCTTGTTAGTCTCGCCTTTGCACTGCCTTCCTCATGTTCATTCTCCTAAAGCAGTAGTTCTCAACCTTCCTAATGCCATGGCCCTTTAATACAGTTCCTGTGGGTCATGACCCACAGGTTGAGACCTGCTGTCCTAAAGCATGTTTAAGGCACAATCACATAATACCACTGATGTTGAAATCGGTGATGAAAGAGCTAGGAGGACAATCCCATGGAACTCTCCTGCTGATTGCTGTCTATGGATAGCTACTTGTTTGTTTGTTTGTTTGCAGTTTTTGGCCGGGGCTGGGTTTGAACCTACCACCTCTGGCGTATGGGGCTGGCGCCTTACTCCTTTGAGCCACAGGCACTGCCCTGGATAGCTACTTTTTAAAGTGGAACTAGGTATTATTTTTACAATGTGACTTCAGTTGTGAGTTTCAGATCTTCCCTTCACTTCCAGCCACATGATCCTGTTCCTGCCATTGCTAAAAATCCTAGCAGAATATTTTAGGTATTTTTTGCTCTGAATTGCTTTCAAAAGATTGTTCTACATCGATATTTTTCAACCTTTTTTGTCTCACAATACACTTGAACCTAGAGTTAAATTTCTGCAGCACACTTAAAGAACTTCTCTTAAAAATAGTTTAATTAATGATTTTAAAAAATTTTTATGGCACACCAGTTGAAAATCACTGTTCTATGTACAGTTCTGTCACAGGTGTATGCAAGTACAGATTCTATAGTCAGCATGATTTCTTGACTTTCATCTGTTAAGCATTGTCGTTTAATAAATTTAGTTTCCAGGTAGTAGAATCTGAGAACTTTTTCATTTTTTATTAGTTAAAAAGTAAAGAAAATCGAGTTTATCTGGGTTTGTTGTTGTTGTTTTTGAGACAGAGTGTTGCTTTGTTGCCCTCGGTAGAGTGCCATGACATCATAGCTTCCACAATACCTATTATTTTCTTTTTATTGTTGGGGATTCATTGAGGGTACACAGAAGCAGGTTACATCAGTTGCTTTTGATAGATAAGGACCCTCTTATATTTGTGTGACACCCGGCTCTGTTTTGGAGACGCAGTCTCACTCTTGCTCAGACTGGTTTCGAACCCGTGAGCTCAGGCAGTCCACCCGTCTTGGCTTCCCAGAGTGCTAGGATTACAGGCATGAGCCACTGCATTCGTCTGAGCTTATCTGTTTATAGATTTAAAATACTATCACTTCTCGGCCTTTTGGCTAACATCATGTGTAGTATGGATTTAAAATACTGGAAATGATGCTGTAGTGAGATTAAAATAGAAGGTATAGTTGTGTATAAATTCATATTTAAGAAAAATGGCCTATCTCTAGAGCCAGAAATTGTATTGTAGGTTCTAATGATGCATAGTTGTGGGATTTTTCTTCTTTTTAGAGACAGAGCTCCTCACTTTGTCACCCTCAGTAGCGTGCTGTGGCATCATAGCTCACAACAACCTTTAGCTCTTGGGCTTAGGTGATTCTCTTGCCTCAGCCTCCCGAGTAGCTGGGACTACAGGCACTCGCCACAATGCCCAGCTATTTTTTTGTTGCAGTTTGGCTGGGGCTGGCTTCAAACCCACCACCCTCAGTATATGGGTCCAGTGCCCTACTCACTGAGCCATAGGTGCTGCCCCATAGTTGTGGTTTTTATATTAGTCCCAAGAGACTTATAAGTACTAAGAATTATATGAAGTATGAATAAGAGAAGAAAATAATTCATTTGACCAGATTTAGCCCAAGTACATTTTTAAGGTAAAAATGGATTATTAAAAAGACTCATTTTAGGCTCAGCACCCATTACTCTGTGGTTAGGGCACCGGCCACATACACTGGGGCTGTCAGGTTCAAACCCAACCCAGGCTTGCTAACCAACAATGACAACTACAACAAAAAAATACCTGGATATTGTAGTGGGCACCTGCAGTCCCAGCTACTTGGGAGGCTGAAGCAAGAGAATCCCTTAAGCCAGTAGTTCTCAACCTACTGAGGGCAAAAAAGTGAGACTCTGTCTCAAAAAAATAAAAATAAATAAAATTATCTTGATGGTGGTGTGAGGAATGTTCTGATATAAAAATCTAAACTCTAATTTATTAGTTTACCCCACTCTTTATTTCCTTTATAGAAAAGAAGAAAACTGAGTTATACCAAGAGTTAGGTCTTCAAGCCAGAGATTTGAGATTTCAGCATGTAATGAGTATCACCACCAGGAACAATAGGATTATCATGAGAATGGAGGTAAAAGGATTTTATTTTCTTCTACAGTTTTCCAGTAAAATCTTATAAAGGTTACTTCCTACCTCGATCATTATCCAGGTTAAAAATAATTTTGGGGCTCGGCGCCTGTGGCTCATGCTGCTAAGGCGCCAGCCACATATACCTGACCTGGTGGGTTTGAATCCAGCCCAGGCCCGCCAAACAACAATGACAGCTGCAACCAAAAAAATAGCCGGGCATTGTGGCGGGCGCCTGTAGTCCTGGCTACTTGGGAGGCAGAGGCAGGAAACTCGCTTGAGCCCAGGAGTTGGAGGTTGCTGTGAGCTGTGATGCCATAGCACTTTACCCAGGGTGACAGCTTGAGGATCTGTCTAAAAAAAATTAAATGAAATAAAAATAATTTTGGAATAAAAATACTTATGTGAAAGAAAGGATATTTTACAACTTAATATGTTATTCTGAGGAGAACTCATTTTACATAGATTATATACATATGTTCAACTGGCCTAACACTGCACTGTTTTATGTTGGAAAAGTTTTTACTGTGATGTTCATTGTTTTTGTTTGAGTTTAGTCTCTTAGTTCCAGAAATTATAAGAGAAAGAATCTGTGTTTATAATAGACATGTTTCCAGTTATATAGTTATGTATATGTATGATATAACCTGAAATACCAAGAACATATTCTGGTTTCCAAATAGCTCAGGAATACTATTAAATTTTATAACTGTTTGTTTGTTTGTTTTGAGACAGAGTCTCACTCTTTTGCCCTGGGCAGAGTGTATGACATCACAGCTCACAACAGCCTCAAACTCTTAAATTCAAGTGATCCTGTTGCCTCAGCCTCCTGAGTAGCTGGGCCTGTAAGTGCCTGCCACAATGCCTGGCTAGTTTTTTAGTAGAGATGGGGTCTTGCTCTTGCTTACACTGGTCTTGAACTCCTGAGCTCAAGCAATCCACCTGCCTTAGCCTCCTAGAGTGCTAGGATAAAAGGCATGAGCCAGCTTAGGTTGTTCATGCCTGTAATCCCAGCACTGTGGGAGGCTGAGGCAGAGGCTAGCTTGAGGTCAGGCTTTTAAGTCTTATCTGAGCAAGAGTGAGACTCCAACTCTCGACAAAACAATAAAAAAACCCAGCAGTGCCTTGGCAAGCACCCATAATTCTAGCAAGTCTGGAGGCTGAGGCAGCCAGATGCCCACAAGCAGAGTCTGAGGTTGTAGTGAGCTATGATGACACCACTGCATTCTGCTCAGGGCATGAGGTGAGACTCTGTCTAACAACAACAAAAAGGCCTGAGCCCCTGTGCCTGGCCTATAAACTTAAATTTTTACTTTTATGGAAAACTTTCTAAAATATGTTGTATTTTCCCATGCCTACTCAGAGCATACCAAATATAATTAGATTTTTTTCAGTAATTTGGAGCCATTATAGGTATGATTTATTTTGGTGAGCTAAAGTTTAGGGTTCAGAAATAGATAAGGAGACACAGGTCTCAGTGATACTGGCCCTGCAGTGGGCTGGGGTTTGTCATTTTACGTAGGGTTAATCAAAATAATCGAAGATGAGCCAGACACTGTGGCATGTGCCTGTATAGTCCTAACTACTCAGGAGGCTGAGGTGGAAGGATCTCTTGAGCCCAGGAGTTAGTGATCAGCCTGAGCAACTCACTGAGACCCCCCCCTAAAAACAATAGATATTTGAATATTTTTCATCAAAATGAATACAGTCTTCTCCCAATTGATATTCCCCAGAAAACATTCATTCTTGTTATAAGTAGCTGGCATCTTTTAAAATAATGTCTCTTTGACCGAGAGGTAAGCAAGTATATGATAAAGCAAATTCAGCAGAGTATTAACTGTATAATCTAAATGGTGGGGATATGGTGTTCACTGTGCACTTTTAGCTTTTGTATAAACATTTTCATAATTTAGAAAATCATCTTTGGTCAGGCAAGGTAGCAATCTGGGAGGTCAAGGCAGGTGGATCACCTGAGCTCAGGAGTTTAAGTAAGACCAGCCTGAGCAAGAGCCTGTCTCTACTAAAATTAGAAAAACTGGCCAGGTGTTGTGGTAGGCACTTGTAGTCCTAGCTGCTTAGGAAGCTGAGGCAAGAGAATCACTTTGAACCCAAGAGTTAGAGGTTGCTGTGAGCTATAATGCCATAGTACTCTACCCAGGGCAATAGAATAAGAGTCTGTCTCAAAAAAAAAAAAGTAAGGAGACCATCTTTAATTTCTATATCATTAATAGAAGGGCTATTTTATCTATTTTTAACCAAAGGTGCTAGTTGTTCTTTTTAGAAAATTTTTTTATTTCATACTCTCCTAACTTAGAGCAGTAAGGCTATGTTTCATCTTTTTAATCTCAGATTAGCTTCATGTATTTTGATATTTTAAAAAGGAAACTTTTATTTTTTTTGAAACAGAGCCTCAAGCTATCCCTGGGTAGAGTGCCATGGCATCACAGCTCACAGCAACCTCCAACTCCTGGGCTCAAGCGCGTCTCCTGCTTCAGCCTCCCAAGTAGCTGGGACTACAGGCGCCCACCACAACGCCCGACTATTTTTTTTTTTTTTGGTTGCAGCTCATTGTTGTTTGGCAGGCCCGGGCTGGATTCTAACCCGCCAGCTCAGGTGTATGTGGCTGGCGCCTTAGCCACTTGAGCCACAGGCGCTGAGCCAAAAAGGAAACTTTTTTATTTGATCCAAACTCATTATGATTAAATCTTTTCTAAAAGTCTAGTTAATACCTGCCTTTTAAGAGACCTTATCATGTTCTTTTATCCTATTTTTTTTTCCCATGGTTATTCTGGAAAGTTTTGGGGGGTTTTGTTTTGTTTTATTTATTGTTTTTTTTTTGGCAAGGCAAACATGAAACATGAAACAAAGTTTATTGAAAAATAGAAAGAGCAATAGCAGAACATATTCACTACAGGCAGCAAACAAAGCCCTTGTAACAAAAGGCCTGGAAGTCTTAATAAGTACATAATTTGTGTGAATAATTCCAACTCTATTGAGAGTGAGTTAGCAGTATTAAGACTTACATATATTTTAGGTCTCTTTTTGGGGGAAAAAGAAATGCTTTGATTTTTTTTCTGTTTTTTTTTTTTTTAATCATAGCTGTGTACATTAATGTAGTCATGGGGTACAATGTGCTAGGTTTACATACAGTTTGAAATATTTTCATCAAACTGGTTAATACAGCCTTCACAGCATTTTCTTAGTTACCATGTTAAGACATTTATATTCTACACTTAGTAAATTTCACATGTAACCTTGTAAGATGCACCATAGGTGTGTGATTTTTTTTTTGAAAAGCCAAATGAACACTGATTTGGGTTAGTCTTAATCTAAAATTAGTAAAATGTTAACTCCTATTTTATGAATGTTGTTTTTTCCTACAGCTCTGCCACTTTTGTGTGTGCATACATATATATTTATATGTTTGGGGTTCTTGTTCTTACAGTATTTGAAAGCTGTGATAACTCCAGAGAGCCTTCTGATACTAGATTATCGTAATTTAAATTTAGAGCAATGGCTTTTCCGGGAACTTCCTTCACAGTTGTCTGGAGAGGGCCAACTTGTCACATACCCTTTGCCTTTTGAGTTTAGAGCTATAGAAGCACTCCTGCAATATTGGGTAAGTCTATTTTTGTTTGGCTCATTGAGTTTATTCTGGGTTTGAAATGCTAGTGAGTAAAAAGACAAGTTGGTATTATTTAATGGCACTTTCCTGACCACATCCTTTCCCCTAACAAAAACATCTCTAAGGACCCGTAAACTTTGTGACCCAACCAAATAGAACTAGAGACTATAGGTATACATAGAGTCTCTTAGGGTTCATGCTATTGCGGTCAGTGAAGCACGCTGCAAGTTAGCTGTGCTTTATGCAGTTTTGTAACTATATTGAGAGGTAATACAAACAGTTATTCATCCAAAGTGTGATAAAAATTAATATATAAGTCAGGCTAAGCACAGTGGCTCATTCCTGTATAATCCTAGCACTCTGGGAGGCCGAGGTGGAAAATCCCTTGAGCTCAAGAGTTTAAGGCCAGCCTGAGCACAAGGGAGATCCCCAGGTGTACTAAAAATAGAAAAAGTTAGCCAGACCTTGTGGCAGGCACTTTGTAGTTCCAGCTTCTCATGAGGCTGAGGTAGGAGGATTACCTAACTAAGGAGTTTAAGGTTGCTATCAGCTAGGCTGATGCCACGGCATTCTGCCCAGGGGCAACAGAGTGAGACTCTTTCTCAAAAAAAAAAATAAAAATTCATACATAAATCAAAAAAAATCTACATGTAACCCATTTTATTCTTTAAACTATGTATAAAAGTGTTTTGTATGTAGTATTTTATTAAATTATTCAAATCATCAAATCATTCTTTGTGCAATCCTTTGTTTGAAGCAGATAAATGATGCCTCTGTTTTAGGCCTGGATTGACATAGGAACCACACATAATCCTTCCAGTGACTCCTCCCATTAAGTGATGGTCATTAGGATGTCTGGGGATCCTGTCAGGCCCCAAACAAGGGTAGTTCTCTGCTGGACCCCACAAATCGTCCCTTGTCTTTTCTTCTCATTATTAGTCATGCTAGCACTGTTCAAGTACTGGCTACATGCAAGAGTTGGTGCTAGGAGTCGAGTACAAAGAGGAGAAGAGAGAATGGTGTGAGGTGGTTGGGCATTAGGGTGAATTTCTCTTTTGTGTGCCTTGCTCTGCTGGAGCAGACAGCTACACTCTCTGCTCAGATTCATGAGGCAACAGTACCAGCTAGTATCAGCCAATGAGATGGTGAGTAGTGACAGCCAAGTTGCTGTGCAGGTAAAAAAAAAGGAAAAGAAAAGATACAAATAATGGTCAGTGACAGCCTGCGCAGGCTGATTAAGCTCTCCGGAGCAGGAGCACATGCTGTTAGCTAAAGGAAAGGCAGGGTTCTTGATAAGGGTGCAGGAAGGGACGGAGAGGGGCTGGCCTGCCTTGGTCTGCTATCTAGAGGTGGGCTGGGGGTGGGGGGGCAAGTAGAGAGGGAGCTCAGGTTGTCTGCTGAGACACATGTTCTTGCCCTTAAATGGGGTTCTGTAAAGATTTCCTTCTGAAAGAAGATTGTATATAAGCAAGGTCAGCCACTGCCGAAAAGGGAAAGGATAAGTTTTCAAATGAGAGCTCCTCAAACCCACCTAAGAGACCATAATAGACCATGAGTAGCTGTGCCCCACAGACAGCCCGTGACCCTCAGCAGCTGCCCCAACTGCTACCCACAACTTACTGGGCAGAAAGTTTGGTATCTCTCTTATGTACCAAAAAAAGGTAATCTGCTTTAGTTTGGCTGTCCAGTCTTCCTTCCCACCCAAGGACTTCTGAACCTGCAAGAGTATCCATATAAGAACTAAACACAATGTCTGCAGAGGCCCATGACTCTGGACTGCAGTTCCCAAAATAAAAAGTCTTACCCTCACAGTTAGTATGTCTTTGAAATGAACAGTGCATGCTGGAATTTAGTCATTCATTTTATTGCTTAATTCAGTTAGTATTATGCTGTTTGCCAATTGGTGTGAAAATTTTCACTATTTTAAATATTTATTTTATAGCTATATCAACGCATACCTGGTAAATATCAAATCATGGTTTGTTAACTAGAAAGATAAGTATGCTTTTGACTTCACGCTGATTTGTTTTATTTTTTATTCTAGATTATGTTTTAGTTTTTTGAAAAAACTATTAACTGTAACTATTTTTTATTCTAGGTTATGTTTCAGCTTTTTTTGTAGGAATTTTGAATTTTGTTTACAAAGACCATATGTATCACTTAACCAAATATAAAGTCTGTGTTTAACCATGAATTGGCAGATTTTATTTTAATTGATTAATCCAGTTATTCCTTTGATAATAAATATCTGTAGGAGGAAAACTCTTAGGAGAGTTAATTGCTTGTCAACCAAATCTGAGGCTAGTGATGACATTATGTGTGGTTCTTTGAACGCAGGAGAAGTAGTTTTTGAATCACCTGGAATAGGCATTCTAGTAATGACTGTGGTCTGAAATGTTGGCAGCATGTCTAGCTATTAGAGATTTCTATATTTAATCAGAGGGTTCACTGATCCTAAGTATTCTAAAAAGATTGTTTTAATCCTTATGAAAGGTCATGTTGTTATCTAGATCAACACCCTTCAGGGGAAACTTAGCATTTTGCAGCCACTGATCCTTGAGACATTGGAAGCTTTAGTGGATCCCAAACACTCCTCTGTAGACAGAAGCAAACTGCACATCTTACTACAAAATGGCAAAAGGTAAATAAATGTGGATTATGCACCAAGTTGGGAGTTAGATACAAATTTCTTAAAATTCTCTTAGTAGTCTTAACAGTGAAATGTTTAGCATAAATTCAGACATAAAATTAGCATAATTATCTTTTTTTAAAATAGTAACTAACCTTGCTAACGGTAATGACATTTTTTACTCTGATTTACTCAAGTGCCTTCATTGCCATGTTTGATTTTAATTATTAAAATTTGGTGTTTTATAACTTTTTAAAGTAGGAAAGTAGCTTAGGTAAAATCCTATGTAAGGCTCTTTTACATATGTGATCTCTTGTTTTTCTTTGAACAACCCAGCTCAGTAGTTGATATTAAAGGTGAGAAAACTAAGGTTTAAGTAACTTGCCTAAACTTATACAGCTAATGGCAGATCTAAATTCAGACCCACTTTTCTGTCCCTCCAAAGATCCCATTATTTTTTTTTTAATCATAATGCATTCCAGAATTTTAAAAATAGTAATCTTAATTAATTTGTATGATAAGATAACCCTTGGCTTAGTGGCCATAGCTTAGTGGCTAAGGTGCTAGCCACATCCACTGGAACTGGTGGGTTCGAATCCAGCCCGGGCCTGCCAAAAAAGGACAACTACAACCAAAAACAAATAGCTGGGCCTTGTGGCAGACGCCTGTGGTCCCAGCTGCTTGGGAGGCTAAGGCAAGAGAATTACTTAAGCCCAGGAGTTTGAGGTTGCTGTGAGCTGTGATACCATGGCACTCTACCCAGGGCGACAGCTTGAGACTCTGTCTCAAAAAAAACCCTAACAGGCACCATTTTTTAAAATTTCACATTAATATGAGGGCATAAAAAATTAGGTTACATTGTTTCTATTTGTTAGGTAGAATCTGAGTTTAGTTGAGCTCTTCACCCAGGAGGTATGCCACACATCCTTACATGGTGCCTGTTAGGAAAGAGCGTGCCATTCCCCTCTCCCGCTTCCTCTCCTCCTCCTCCACTTGAATTCAGTTGTGCATTTCTCTTGTGTGGAAGACACTATTCTTATAGTGAAATGTTCTTGTAAGTTTATGCTGTTGATCATTTCTGTGTAACTATTCTTACAGTTTATCGGAGTTAGAAACAGATATTAAAATTTTCAAAGAGTCAATTTTGGAGATCTTGGATGAAGAAGAGTTGCTAGAAGAGCTCTGTCTATCAAAATGGAGTGACCCACAAGTCTTGTAAGCATATAATCGTGCTTTGTCATATATTTCCTTAAGGTGAATCTCCCACCTTTTCTTCCTAAAATAATTTTTCGTAAAGAACATAACATTTTTCTGGAATACAGAATGTAGACATTTTTCATCCTCAGATGTTTCCCCTTTTCCCTGTGCAGTGTTGTATCTAATTCAGTTTAATGAGGACGTATCATATGCATGCTGCATCCCCAACAGTGCTGAAATTTGATGAATATAAAGATAAACACACAATTACAATTCTTTATCTTCAAGGGACTAGCCACCAAATCAGCACATACATCTACTGAAATATCTTACCTAAGGACGTAGAGTGAGGGAGAGGGAAAGAAATTCACATGGCCGGTGGGGTGAATACAGATGGAAATATTTTGGTTTTGTTCTTTATAAGAAAATATTAAGATAAAAAAGGCTGTATAATATTTGGTAGATAGCAGATGGATATATGAATAGTAGCTGAAACTCTTGTTTGCTTTGGTCTAGCCAGTCTGTCTCAAATACACTTTAGGATGCAAGTACCTTTTACAATAGGGTATTTCAATCCCCCTTCTCCTCCTCAGTGGGGGGGGGGGGTGTCTAAATAAAGGGGAGCAAAATAACTGTATAGACATTCAAAAACATTTTTCTTCATATATGAAAACGATACATAATACACATTGGAAAGGAAATGTTCTTTATGTTTTTAATTTTTGTGTTTTGTTTTACCTGATGGTAGTTTGGGATTTGCACTAATCATTGGCATTCACACCTGGATTTTCCTAAACTGGTAGTATATATTTACATGAGAGCCTCCTGGATTAGGACCATGGGATCCAGTGAGATTAACTAATCTCTGTGAAGATGGAACCTCTGTCCTCTGCTTATCTGCGTAGCATTCAGGATTGTTTGATGTGGCTACTCGTGGACTGGCCTCAGTCACAACGATGCAGAGGACAGCTAGCTTTCCACTGGTGGCCGAATATCATATGCTAATCTAGGAAGTTTTTGGTACTAAATACACAATACACACATTGGGGTATGTTATTTATGTTAACTCTTCCAATTGAAGTGAAAAGAGCAGTACTGGGATTGACCATGCAGAAGAGATGGAGTTGCTGTTGGAAAACTACTACCGATTGGCTGAAGACCTCTCCAATGAAGCTCGGGAGCTTAGGGTACTGATTGATGATTCACAAAGTATTATTTTCATCAATCTGGACAGGTAAGAAAGCATTACGTAAAACAGTAAACATTTTCTTTGTAAAATAATGAAGCTTTTAAGGAACTGTCATTTTGGAAGGAATTATATAATACCATCATTATATATCATACGTGAAAGTTTATGGAGGTTTTTTTGGGGGGTGGGGTGGGGAATGCAGATGATTTGATCCATGTGGTCTCTAATGGATGATTAGGGAATGTGCTGTGTATAGTTAGTGGGCTCTTCTGATCCAAGTGTGTGTTCTCTTCAGCCACCGTAATGTGATGATGAGGTTGAACCTACAGCTAACCATGGGAACTTTCTCTCTTTCGCTCTTCGGACTAATGGGAGTTGCTTTTGGAATGAATTTGGAATCTTCTCTTGAAGAGGTGAGAATATCTTACTTCAGTAACTTAGGGGTTATTTTTTAATGTTTTGAAGATTAATTTTTTAATGTTAGAAAAAACAAAGTCTAATAACTTGTAAACTCCCACAGTGAAATAAGATACATAACTCAAATTCAGGCATTATTGTTGAACCATGGTATAATATAGCTATAAATATAGCTTAGGTTGTTTCCTAAAAGATAATAAAAATAGAAGAGGTTTGATAAAATAGTGTCATGCTATGAGGCAGTGTTAATGAGGGTTTTTTATCTTTTAATTCTTACTTGTCTAGTAACACATACCTGGCAGTTTGCATACTTTATGTGGCTCAGTCATTGCAACTATGTAAATAGATATTATACCCTACTTTGTGGATGAGAAAACTTGGGAACAGAAAATTTAAGTAACTCACCCTCATGCACAAAGCTAGAAAATAAGTTATGAACCTAAAGACTTGCACGTCCACTTTGTTCTGCTGCCTTTCCATATTAATACAACACTGAATTCCCAGAGTTTTTCATATCACCATAGCTTTGTGGTATAGTTGTCCCTTAGTGTTGGGAGGGGGGGTGTTGATGCCAGGATCCCTGCTGATACCAAAATCCACGGATGCTCAGGTCTGTGCTATAAAATGGTCCAGAACAGTTGGCCCTCCATAGCTGCAGATATAGAACCCACTGAGACAGAAGGCTGACTGTATTTTCAGAGACTGTCTTACCATAAGATTTCTAGACAAGGTGAAAGTGCCACTGGATTCTGTGTCCTACCTAGGCTAACAGGTCTATTTTCTCTCTGTGGCTGACATCTGCATCATCTCTCATCAGGAATACTATGAGCTTTTAAAAAGTGATCTTTAAAATATCTAAACCCTAGCTGGGCATTGCAGTGCATGCCTATAATCCCAGCTATTCGGGAGGCTGAGGCAAGAGGATCACTTGAGCCCAAGATTTTGAGGTTGCTGTGAGGTTTGGCACCATGGCACTCTACCCAGGGGGACAGAGTGAGACTCTGTCTCAAAACAATACAATATCTACTACAATATAAGACAATAAAATACAATATCTACACAATATAGATATGTACAATATCTATACAATATAAATACAGTAAAATATCTAAACCTGATTATTATGTCACTCTTCTGCATACAGCTATTCCGTAGCTTTGGCCTGTGCAGGTTTCCTGGCCCGCTGCTCCTGCACATCCATCTGGTCAGCAGCTTCCTCGGTATTCCCTCCTAGATACACTCCCTCAACTTAGGTGTCCCTTCACTAGCACCCCCAACTTGGCCAAGTAAATTACTCCCTTCATTGCATGTAACCACATAATCCTGGACTTCCCATCTGCCACGTTTTTCAAATTTGGAATTATTTGTTCACAACCTACAAAAAGTTGTAAGGTCCTTGAGGCAAACACAATATTAGTTACTTTTAATGCTCCTTATGGTAAAATATAAATGAAAAACACATTTGTTCATTTATTTCACAAGTGGTTTTTAGTGCTGTTATATACCAAGTAGTGCACTAGTCTCTGACCTTGTGGAGGTTACATTATAGTGCAGAAAGGAGATAATAAACACACAAAGTATGTAATGGGATAAGTGCCACAGAGAAAAGTCAGATAAGGACATGGAGAATGTTAGGTGGTGGGACAGGTGGCATTTTATGGATGGGGAAGTCAAGGAAAGTGGTTCTAAGAAAGTGACATCTGGGTGGAGAGTCCTGAATGAAAAGAGAAAATAGGGAGATCTGGAGCAAAGTGTCCAAATGCAGGGAACCATAGAGCCACAGATACGAAGACTGAGACAGGAATGATCCGAGCTTACTCATGGAACAGCAAGAAGGCCAGAGTGGTCGGAAGAGAATAGGTCAGGTGGAAAGGTAGAGAAGTCAGTCGCAAAGACACATGGTGGTGTCAGCTGTGTCAGAGCATGGTTTAGTTTAAGAGTGATAGGAATCTACTGGAGCAGCAGTCCCCCACCTTTTTGGGGGAGACAACCAGTTTTCCACAGACCAAAGTGGGAGAGGGGAGACAATGAGATAGGAGGCAGAGCTTAGATTTTTCCAATCTGTAGACAGCGATGCAAGCTATGGGAGAAAAGCTCCCTCACTCAGTTCCCAACAGGCCACAGACTGTACTGGTCCATGGCCCGGGGATTGTGGAACACAACACTGGAAGTTTGGATCCAAATTTAAACCATTGGAAAGTTCAGAAGTAACCAGAATATCTTGTGCCATATAGTCTGACCCTTGACATTCTCAAAAGGATACAGACCAAAGACCTTTACAAGATTATAGGACTTTCTGCACAAGTTCCTATCTTTATTCACAATCATTTTCTTTTTCTTCACAATCGTTTTTAAGGGTCATTTTTTTTGTGTGTACAATCTAAAAGCCAACTCCATTTTATATTTAATATCTTTCTCTCACTTAATTGCCTATTTTTCCAAAAAAGGGGAAATTTTTTTAAAATTTCTTTCTGGTAGTTTTGATATGTGCAATCCTAGACACAGAGCAACCCATTTGTAATGAGATGAGTGGTTGGTAGTGAGCTTGGCTTGCTCAGTAACTGAGTGAACAAGATTCAGACCAGTGGCTCAGAATTACAAATTACACATCTTTTGGTGTCCTGAAGAATAACTAAAACATTTCGTTAAATTCATGGATGCCAAATCTCATGTAGCTAGCTAGCATCAGTATTTACAATGGAGAGACTAAGATAGGAAAAAATTTGATATTTGTTATTTTAAGATCATTTCAGACTTACAGTCCGAGCATTCCCATACAACCTTTGACCAGATTCTCCCAACATCAACATTGTGTCACATTTGCTTTGTCATCTGTAGGTACACTTTATTTTCCAAAGTAGAGAGTAAGAACAAATGTGCTGCGCCTTCACCCTGACATTTCAGTTTGTATTTCCTTAAACCTAGACATTCTCTTAATACCTTAGAGCAGTTATCAAAGTCAGGAAATTAACATTGAGAGACTATTTTTCTAATGTATAGACTCTATCCTGATTTTGCCACTTGTCTCAGTAGGGCTTTTTATCACACAGAAAATCTTAGATCATGTGTTGCCTATAGTTGTATGTCCCCTCAGTTTCCTTAATCTAGGGCAGTTCTTCAGCCTTTGTCTTTCAAGGCCTCAACATGTTCAAAGAACACAAGTCAGGTATTTGCCCTGTGCATTCACTATTAAATTCTAGGTATGCATTTTGTCAGCATGTTCTTTACAGTGATCCCATCAGGAGACACGTGATTGTCCCAATGCTGGCAATACCACCACATAAAGTAAAGCGTTCCATTCTCTCCTACTTATTTATTCATTCATATCAATATGGATTCATGGAATCTTGTTTTAGTCAGTGAGTTCTAATCTGTTATTCTGATGCTCAAATCATCCCTTCATGCTGGCTTCAAGGTACTTCCCACACATCCCTATCAGTTTTTAGTACTTTTGTAACGTCTGGCCCAGCTAGATGTTCTAGGCTGGACAAATTGTTTCTAGGTAATGTAGATAAATAGTGGAGGAAGATATAGGGTCCCAAGAGTGAAAGAAGGTAAGTTAAATGCTAGACAAGAAGGCATGTACCCTCAGTCCTGCAGGCCATATCTATAGCAGAGGGAGCACTTAATCAGCTCTCAAATGCTGTGTCTTTCCTGGATCTCCTAGAGCAGGCATCCTCAAACTAGAGCCCAGGGGCCACATGCGGCCCACCAAGGACATTTATCCAGCCTGCCAAGGGTTTTTGCCGCCACTGCCTATCCTGCTTAGCACCAACTCATCCCGGGGCCCACAGTCCGGCCCTCTAACGGTCTGAGGGACAGTGAACTGGCCCCCTGTTTAAAAAGTTTGATGACCCCTGTCCCAATAACATATGGGATTTTGAGTTTGGTTTGCCTCTGACTTACTTAAGTTTTATCATATCTGGACATTCCCAGACTTTTGATATGTAGGGGACTACATAACCAATCTACAGTGAAGAATAACAATAATCTTGTATGTCATCTTTTTAAAAAATATTTTTTCTTAGGTAGGTAACATCTTATTTAAATAGAACTTTTACTTAATTAGGACCCTCATTTTGAAGAACTGGAAATGTGTTCAACATCCAAAAAATAACTCATGTTAACACTTACCTTCCTATTTTCTTACATCTAACATTATTTTTAGAAGGAGGCAAATTTCTGCTTAGTAAATGACATGAGCTCCATCAGTGATAGCTGATCAACTGTGCAACAGGCTATCTTGGAAGATGTGAGCGCTCAATCACCGGAGCTAACCGGTCTGGTAGGAGAACCAGCGAATGGATGGATTCCTTTTCTGTGAGACATTACATTTAAATTCTGTAACTCTGTGCAGTAATGCATTAATAAAAACTCTGCACTGCAAGAAGATTACCATTCTGAAAATAATGGTGAGGAAAATGTTTAAGTCTGAGGTTCCCACACTCTCTCGGTCCACGATGCCCTCAGTGTCTTAGTAATTTTTTCACAATATCCCTAAGCCAGATATTTAATTTATTATGTTACAGACTCTTGTTATTTCCCTTGAAGATTTAAACTATTTCTGGTGTGCTGTGGTGCCAAGGGCACCTCAGCTCACTGTCTGGGAGCTTTGGCTATAAGCAAAGACTCCATGTTATGTGTCTTCTATGATTATGACTATTAAAATTTGTATGTATGTAAACAGAGATTGAAAAAAAACACAAAATAAAAGCCGTTATGTTTGGCTTATAGATGATTAAAAATATTTAAAATGTAAAATCATGTTTCTCTTCTGATTTACTCTCTGACTTGGGGGTCTCTAGGTGCAGTCAAGGCACTTGTTCTTAGTTCCTTTTTATGGGAGAGTTGTACAGCTAATAAAAGTCTTTGGGGGGGGGGGCAGGGTCTTACTCTGTTGCCCAGGCCCATAGCATCATAGCTCACAGCAACCTCAAACTCTTGCCTCAGCCTCCAGAGTATCTGGGACTACAAGCATGTGCCACTACGTCCAACTAGGTTTTATATTTTTAGTAGAGATGGGGTCAGACTGGTCTGGAACTCTTGAGCTTAAGCAGTCCACCCCCCTCAGCCTCCCAGAGTGCTAGAAGTGCTAGGATTCAGGTATGAGCTACCATGCCCAGCCTAAAAGGCTTCATTTAAACTCTGAGGCAATAATAGTACAGGACAATTTTATCTCTAAGGAGCCTAGCCTTTTATGATCGAAATGAACTCTGTGGGGGTGGGGGTGGGGCGCCCATGCTCAGTGAGAAGGGTGCCAGCCCCATATACCAAGGATGTTTCGAACCCGCCCCCTGCCAAACTGCACCCCAAAAAATAGCTGGGCGTTGTGGTGAGCACCTATAGTCAGTCCCACCTACTCAGGAGGCTGAGGCAAGAGAATGGCCTAAGCCCAGGAGTTGGAGGTTGCTGTGAGCTGTGACACCACAGCACTCTACCGAGAGCAACAAAGTAAGACTCTGTCTATTAAAAAAAAAAAAAAGAAAAGAAAAAAGAAAAGAACTCTGTGTTCTCTTTTAGGACCATAGGGTGTTTTGGCTGATTACAGGAATTATGTTCATGGGAAGTGGACTCATCTGGAGGCGCTTGCTTTCATTCCTTGGACGACAGCTAGAAGCTCCATTGCCTCCCATGGTATGTAGGATGTGGCTCATAGCAGCACTGCATAAGGGTCATAGTCATGGGCTTTAAAGTCAGACGTCTGGGCTCAGCTTGTCACAGGCTCTGTGACCTTTCACAAGTTACTTAACTTCTCCAAACTTCCCTCATTTCTGTATCTGTCAATTAAGTCAATACTATGGGCTTCATAGGGTTATTGAGAGAATTAAATGAGAAATATGTGTAAATATCTAAGCACTAGCACGGTGCTCAAACATTAATATACTTCTAACAACAAGTTAGAAATATGATTTATTTTGTGTAGAACACGCTGATAAACATTATAGATGTTAGTAATTTTGGTGCAAGGTTTTGTCATAACCAAATTAAAACATGAGAAACATTTATATAGTGTTCCAAGTATAAAGTTTATCTCCTTTGTTTTTGAAGAAAACACCCCGAAGTAAGTATTTATGACACTAATATAAGTTACAATCCTCCATAAAGTGATTACATAAGATACCATATAACTATAGCTTTTCTTTTAAGAAAGATACAAACTAAAATTAGTTTTCCTGATTTATTTAGATGGCCTCTTTACCTAAAAAGACCCTTCTGGGAGGTAGAAGCATGGAATTGAAAAACAGCCTCAGACCAGATGGACTTACTTCAAGTAGGAATATCCTAACAAACCGTTAGCAACGACCCGACCCAGTGGATACTGAATATTTTTTATGGTAGTCACAGGACACTTCTGATACTGTTATTTTCTTTTATAAAGTCAGACACTTGAAGAAAATCACTGATACTTAAATTAAAATGTCCAACGACAAAAATATTATGGCATTCACAATACTAGAACTTTATTGCATTTCTGGAATTCTGATTTAAAGAAGCAAAGTGCTTTCTTTGTAAAAGGCCCAAAGTTTACTTCCTACAAACTTTAAATGCTGTTTTTATAAACATGATGTAAGATGTGAAGAAGTTTAACACAAGAACACACTTCTATAGATTTTATTTAGTCTACACATATCAGGAAATGTTCAGTTTCATACTGAATGAAGCTGAGGGACTTGACAAATATATTGGGGTGGCTGTGGTTCTTTGTTAGTACAGGGAATGTTTATATGAACTTCCTGATCTCAGGTGACTGAAAAGCTAGCATTACATGTATATGTGTTAACCCTAAACTCTGGAAGTTGTGCTTTAAAAGTCAATCCTTGACATAACCTTATATTTTCGTATTTGCCATCTTTTATATGTAAGGTGAAGAAATGATAATTTAATATCAGCACTATATGATTCCAGTTAATCAAGATTTCACTTTCTTAACCCTTGAAACTTTTTTTTTTTTTTGGCTCGGCTATAATTAGAGCCTTTGAAAGTAGAAAGGAAGCATTTTCCATTCAGTTACTGGTTATAGCTGCATTGTGCATTTACTGATTATTAGTGCATATTTTTAGGCCCCTGTAAAAAAGAAAAATGTATATTAAGCTAATCTATATGCTATACCTCACAAGTTAACAGATGGGCTTCCTAAAACAAGAGGGTAGACGTTAGAATTGTGATAGCTTTTTGTTTCCACAGGGTTTAGGGCTTCCTAAAACAAGAGGGTAGACATTAGAATTGTGATAGCTTTTTGTTTCCACAATCAGAGATTTGTGTAATTACAAGTGCAAGCTGCTGTCTTACCTACCTTTTAAAATTTTTTCTGGAGGTTAAGTACAGTTATGCACTAGGACATTTAAATTTGCCACCAAAACTGGCATACATGGAAGACTCTAGAGTGTCCAGAGCAGCTCTTACACTACAAATGTGTGGTAATAAGAGCGTAAATATGCCTACCCTGATGACAAGGGTACCAGCTTACCCTTATGCGATGTAGTATGAGGAAGTTTAGGGGTCCATTTTCCAGGTGGTTTGGTAATGGAATAATATTACTCCAGTAGCTGATTTGGAAGAAAACGTATGATATTACAAGTAAAGCTTTTCCCACTCTCATGTGTGGTTATGAGGACCCACTGGAGGGAACCTGGAAGCAAAATAGCGTGAAACAAACTGACTTGGAGCACAGACTGGCCCCTGTGCACTGCGCGGTGGGTCAGGAACACGCCCTATGATTTGATGGTTGGAATGTAAATATAAGCACAGTTTAGCATTATGCATCTGATGATTTTCAAGACTATCTTTGATAATACTTAGACTTCACAGGGCACTGTTTGGCACACCTCAGAGTATTTTGCTGCTATTTTTGGTCTTCTGTTAAAACACTGTAATAAAGGTAATAAATATGATTTAACTGTGACTTGAAGAATTGGAATCCCAGGGGGCAAAACTTGGTAACTAAGATCAGGCATAGAATAGAATTTTGATCATTTGATCCTTATAGTGTTACTGACTTAGTTTATGAGCTTGGATAAGATAATTTTTTTGATGAATCATGTCCATTAATAAAAGGAAAAATGATGTAACTACCTCATAGTCTGATAATGGCAATTCACTAGTAATTCGTAAAATTCTTAGATGAACTATGATTTCAAAATGTCAATGAGCTCATTCTTGTGATTGGAGGATGCTTCTGACATTAAAGTTATAAATAATAAATTGCTTTTAAATTTTGAACTAAAATAATAGACTAAGCACCTTAACTACTATGTGAAAGTAAAGTGGTAAAACACCAAATAGTGGGTTATGTGAGTGGACATGTCAGGTGTAAGGCGTGATACTCTCAGCAGCCTGACTTTGTCTTTGGAAGGCCTCTAAGAAAGGCGGGCAAAACATGTCATTTGAAAATGCTATTAACACTAAGCTTTATTCTTGATAAACACAGACTGTGATAAATAGCTACTACAAGTTTCAGATTAAAAAGCTATTTATTTTGGTGAATTACGCCAAGAGTTTTACACAACCTTATTTTTTGGAATTGAAATATTCACATTGAATTTAGGATTCATTTTCAGTACATTAGTAATACAGATGTGATCTAATGGATGGTGGTGCATGGAATAGGGACTCCAGAGATCTGAGTTTTGTTACCAAACTATCTTGAAGTCATTCTCATCTTTTAGGTCTGTGATACAAGGGCATAAAACAATTGTGATCTTGAAACTTGAAGAAAGTTGTTATGTATACAGATAGAAAAATGCAAGGATGTAAATGTGTTCTGATATCTTGAAACAAAGATAAATTTGAATTAAACTGTTAACGTAGTTTCAGACTTATGTTAATGATAAATTTTGGTTACTAATATTTACAGGGTATTTACATTTTAGTTGCTAAGCATTTCAGAATCAATGCTTAGAACTACATAGTTTATACTTCATAAAATTAAAAGTTAGTCCACCTAGTGGGATAATACAGTCTAAAATCTATCATTTTTTTCCTTATGTGTCAGGTTTTTACATATTTGCCAAATAGGTTGACCTTTAACACTAGGTGTAGAATTTACATTATTTCTGACATTGGAATGAGTATTGCTAAGTATTCTATAAACTTGGAAATTTGTCTCTTTCTTTATAGGTTTAACTTTAGCTTTCTCTGTCTGGTGCTTGTTATCTGGTATGTTCAGGCATTGAGACAAATACATGTAAAGGTATTTGTAAAGGTATGTATAAAGGTTTTTATTTTTTTACTTTTTGTTTTTTTTGAGACAGAGTCTCACTATGTCTCCCTTGGTAGAGTGCCATGGTGTCACAGTTCACAGCAACCTCAGAGTCTTGGGCTTAAGAGATTCTCTGGCTTTAGCCTCCCAAGTAGCTGGGACTACAGGTGCCTGCCATAACACCTGGCTATTTTTTTTGTTGTAGTTGTTGTTTAACAGGCCCTGGCTGGGTTCGGACCTCCCAGCCCTGGTTTATGTGGCTGGTGCCCTAAATACTGATTTATAGGCACTGAGCCATTGTAAAGGTATTTGAGTAATGATCATGTTTAAATATAGGCCCTATCATTTAACAAAGCATAAAAACATGGACTTTATTTATATGGTAATGGCTACATGAAAGTATGCATCTATTTAATGAAAATATCCAGCACTGAGAAAGACATACCTTTACTAAAGCACACAGTGTCATATGTCATCAGATTGTTCTGCACTTAAACTTCTCAACTCATAACTGAATACAGCTGAGTAATTTCTGGACTCTAAAAGTAACTACTCTTTTAATTAATAATTTTTGATGGAGCTGACAATTATTATTACTCAAATGAAGCCAGTGTTTGCTTTTTGCTATGCCATAGGATACTATGCAGCTGGCATACGTATCTCTTAAAGGAAAATGAGATAGTCCTGGGCGTGATCCAGAGATGCTATCTAGGGATAGGCCCGTTTGTGTTATTTTCCTATATATGCTGGGATTATGCTTACATCTTAGCCACAGTAGCTTTTCCTTGGTGTCTTTTCTTTTTTTTTTTAGGCAGTCTCATTTTGTCACTCTTGGTAGAGTGCTGTGGTGTCATAACTCATAGCAACCTCAAACTCTTGGGCTCAAGTGATCCTCTTGCCTCAGCCTCCTGAGTAGGTGGGACTACAGGTGCCCACCACAATGCCTGGCGATTTTTTTTTTTTTCAGAGACAGGGTCTCACTCTGGCTCAAGCTGGTCTTGAACTTCTGAGCTCAAGCAATCCACCTGCCTCAGCCTCCCAGAGTGCTAGGATTACAGGTATAACTTCACCAGTGTAAAAGGAAAGAGGTTCTTCCATGATTGATACAAAATAGACTAGTTACTGTTTACAGATAATGATGGCTGTAGATGTTTAGTAATGCTAAAACCCTATGCTACACTCTTTCCCCTTAAGTGTGCCACACTGCCAAATTGGCAGATGAACTCTACCCTACTAAAAAAAGCCCAGGATCAGGTGATGTCAAAAATACCTGTTTCCTCCTGTTGGTCTCTCACTTAGTTGGTCCCTTGCAATAGCCTTTGACTCGGGCCAAATCTCCTTTTTGCTCTGGTTCTGTTGGCACAATTGTGGCAGCCAAATGCAACAAGGGTCCTTCATGAGATGACTTAAAACTAGTGGAGAATCACCAGGTTCATCAACTGTTAAAGCACCTGTCTCTACAAAAGCATTTGAGGACACAGATGATACAGTTTTTAAGTTTGTATATTTGCCCTTCATTATATAAAACATTGATAATAATCTTAAGAAAAGACTAAATCAGAAATGATTTGGGAGTGTGAAGTTATCCTAAGAGATAACCACAGAAAAAACTTTCCAGGCTTCAGAAGGACATAGGTATTCACAAGGAAGAGGAAATGGGTTGTACAACAGGTCTAAGCACACGCAATAAGCTAGGAAAGAAGAAAGGTTTTGCAAAGGGAGCCAGGAAGTAAACTTTGGAAGGGGCCCTGAATAACCAGAGAGGCTGTTATTTCACATACTCCTGGTGTAGTCATATAATTTACTGTATCAGATTTCCAGATAGTGTGGCTGTTAGTATGTGTCTCTACTCCCAGGAGCCCCACCTATGTTCAGGATGTACCATAGCTTCACTGGATGTGCCAAATGTGTCCACAAGAATGCTCATCCTGGAGATGACTGAGCGTGTTGAGAGGGAGAGGCCGAGTGGGAAAAGAGGAATGAAATCTTTAACTTGAGCCAAGGGTATAGATGTGAAGTGCTCCAGAGAGTCGAGCTCCCAAGGAACTCCTTCCAGCAGCAACAACAACTTGGTTCTGTGGGGGATATAACACAGAATTCAGGATTCACTTTCAACATCTGTTAAGTTTCTACTGCAGTCCAGGCATTGGGCTATGCTCTGGAAATACAAAGATGAACAAAACTTCGGCCAGATCTCATGGCTTAGACTTAAATGCTTCTTGACCTCCTTTATATGCCACTTTCTCAGACCTGTAGGTTCTAAAACACCACAGCTGAGGACGTTCACCCCAAACCTTCTCTGGCACACAAAGACTTAAAGGAAAGTACGTTCATGTGTGCTTATGCCAGAATTCTAGTTGTGGCAGAAAGCCAACAACACATGTGGAACAAGGACTTCCCAGGGCCTGCCATTGTCAGGGTGCTTCACTTCATACCGCCCCTGCTGCTTGAAACATTTTAGGACTCAGCTTTCAGAACTGCCTTCAGAACCTGCTACAAGTTCTTAAACGTTCTTAGTGGTGGCAAATCTTCAAGTTGAGTTTGATTGTGGAAATTGCTAGGAATTACTCTGAACCAACAAGGCTAGCAAATCAGCTATGCATGATCAAACTGCCTGGTGGTGGTTTTAGTCACAGCAGGGTATGATGATTTTTCATAGGTTTAATTTTGAAAACTACTGATGAAATCCAGAAATAATAATGGCTAAAATGTATTGAGCTTTTATCATGTGTCAGATATTATCTCTTAATACCCTAGTGTCAATTAAAAGGGAAAATCTAAACTTAAAAAGGAACCAAATATCATAGTAATTTCTTCTCCCTCTCTTATTTATGGAATTGCTCATTTATTAAATTTGCCTGTGCTTTGTCTTTGAATTAAATCTCCTCTTCATTTTCTGGTCAAACTACGCCCATTTCTAAAATCAAATCTTCCCTTGTTTCTTGCCCTTTGTGTGCCTATCGAGAGTCCAGACATCTTTCCAGATGCAGTGTGGAGCCTGAAGCTCCGCACGGCCTTCCCTGATCTGCCAGCAGACACTTCCACCGCAGCTGCTGTCTGACCGTCTGCCTTTGGCTCTTGGTCATCATATGTTGACCTGGATGGTCTTATGGATGGATGTGTTTTATTTTCCCATCTAAACAATATGCACCTGGGGACCAAGACCAGTTTGTTTTCCTTGTCTGCCCCTCTGGTGTCCAGTACACACTGAACTGAGCTCTTGACACACTCATTAGTTTCTGCTCTGCTGAGACTCACGAGTGACACAGGGGAGCCCCATGAGAGGTTTCAGACATAGGGAGACAGTGACAGCACTACTTAAGTAAATGCTGAGTCCTAATTCTAATTTGTTACTATCACTTTCATTACTTAATGCTCATGTGGCATAGAAAACAAAAAAGGGCACTTCAAAGTCATAACTTTTACTCAGGTCCCAATAAAAGGCTGCTCTGATCATCCTCTGATTGTGTCCAGTTTTTAAGCATGACATCTGATTTCCCTGTACACTTGGTGCTTCAGTGCCCCAATCTCAGGTATGTGCTAGGAAAATTAAGTAATTTTAATTATTATTTTTTTTTTTTAGAGAGAGTCTCACTTTGTTGCCCTCAGTAGAGTGCTATTGCATCACAGCTCACAGCAACCTCCAGCTCTTGGGCTTAGGCAATTCTCTTGTCTCAGTCTCCCGAGTAGCTGGGACTACAGGTGCCTGCCATAACACCTGGCTATTTTTTGTTGCAGTTTGGCCAGGGCTGGACCCACCACCCTCAGTATATGGAGCTGACACCCTACTCACTGAGCCACAGGTGCTGCCCATGAATAGAATTTTAAATAAAAACCAAGCTTATGGTATCAGGTATTCCAGTGACCAGACCTTTTGAAGATCCTTCCAAAAAGTTAATAATCCATTTTTCTGTTGTGATTAACCCTAAATTTACGATATCAGATATGCTTATAAAAAGATCTCCTGAATTGTTGGCCTCTGTAGGGAAATTTCACCACAATTTTTATAAGCAGGAGTCTTACAAGCCTGGGTATATACTCCAAAATCTATGAAGGCTTCCCCCAGCCCTTCATCCCACAGTTAATACTGTTCACATTATTTAGCTTTCAATACCATACTGATTTGCATTTTAACTTCCCATGTGTATAAATCTTACTCTTCAAGAGAAAAGGACTTTGCTTCTCTTTCTTTATATCTCTCATTGCCTAGGACGGTACAGTGTCATATCCTAAAGTGAATGAATGAATGGAATCAGAGGTTTAGAGGTATATTTTAAGGTAAAACTTTTTAATCTGCCATATTTATTAAAAATTAAAATATATACACTCTTTCATCTAGCAGTCCCACTTCTAACATTCACACCTTCAGGGATAGTTGCACTATTATGTAACAATATATATGGGTGCAGGGATGCATACTATAGCATAGTCTGTAATAATAAAAGAAGTGGAAATAACCTAAATGTCTATAAGAATGTGAACTGAAGAAATAAAATATAGTGCACCAGACAATAAAATACTATGCAACCATTGAAAAGAATCGGGTGGCTCTGTATGTACTTGTTTGGGAAGGAGGCAAAATAAGAGTATGTAAAAATGAAACAGGGACTAGAAGTATGTGTGTGTATAATGTCTGTCATACAAAAACTCTGAAAGTCTGGAAGAAGACACAGCAAACTGGTAACAATGGTTATCCTATGAGGCAAGGATTGGCAAACATTTTTTGTGACGGGCCTGTTAATAAAACTTTAGACTTGGTAGGACATGGGTCTCTGAAGTAACCAATCAATTCTGCCATTATAGCATGACAGTGGCCATAGATAATACATAAATGAGTGTGGCTATGTTCTAATAAAACTTTATAGACACTGAAATTTGAACATCATAAATTTCATGTCACAAAATATTATGTTTTGGTTTTTTTCCAACCATTTGAATATAAATGACCACTTCTAGTTCATGACCATACAAAAACAGGTGGCAGATTGGAGTTGCCCGGTGGACTATAGTTTGCCAAGCCCTGCTGCAGAGGATAAAATAGGAGTAAGTAGGGAATTTGTTCATCCCAAATGGGTGTTTCTTTTTGTGTGTTCCTCTATTTTTCAAATTAAAATGAAAAATAAAATAGAAAGTGAAGGCCAGGTGTGGTGGCTCACGTCTATAATCCTAGCACTCCGGGAGGCTGAGGCTGAAGCTTCAGCTTCCTAGTTCAAGACCAGTCTGAGCAAAAGCGAGACTCCATCTCTAAAAAAATTGCTGGGTTGTTATGGCAGGTGCCTATAGTCCTAGCTACCTGGGAGGCTGGGATAAGAGGATCCCTTAAGCCCAGGAGTCTGAGGTTGCTGTGAGCTATGACAGCACAGCACTCTACCTAGGGCAACAAAGTAAAACTGTCTCCAAAAATAAATAGATAAATAAATGAATAAGTGAGATCACCGAATACCAGCCCTAGAACAAACAGACATTAAGGGAAGTCCTTGTACTCACCTTTTGCTTGGACTTCACACTTACCAGGGAGCTCCCAAACCTGGAGCTTGCCTGTAAGACAGTAAGGGGCTTTTGAAAACACACCACACCATTTTATCAGCTTGAAAAGGAAAGGGCTTTTTTTGGTAGTTTTTCTTTCTTTAGTCCTTCAGAAAAAATACTTACTTCTGGAGAAATCAATACATATTGGGCCTAAAAGAAAAAAATTAGGAAGAAAAGAAGACAATGTTATTACCAATGTTTATGTGGTTTTTGTCAACCAAGTTTAATTACAACTTCACACTCACGTTTCTGTGTTTCTTGATGAGCTTTACAATGTGCCTGCCCTTTGCCCCCAGAAATGCTTATAGGAATATATCTCATTATCTGATTAAATATATCTCTAGATCTGATTAAAAATAATCAGATGTATACAAATGTTTATGTGAATATTATGTCATTATAACAGTTAAAATGGGAAATGGCCTAAGTGACTAGTAACAATTATTTAAATAACAGGTGAATAAACTATAGTTTATGTATCAAATATTGGGCAGCCAGTAAATATGTTGTAAAAAGTACCAGGTGACATAAAAAATGTTTGTAATATATCTGTAGGTTAAAACAAAACAAAAAACATGTTACAAAATTGTATACAAAATCATGCATAATGGCCGAGCACAGTGGCTCAGCCTGTAATCCTAGCACTTTGAGAGGCTGTGGCAGGATCGCTTGAGCTCAGGAGTTTGAGACCAGCCTGAGCAAAAGTGAGACCCCCATCTCTACTAATAATAGAAAAACCAGCTAGGTATTGTGGCAGACACCTGTAGTCCCAGCTACTTGGGATGCTGAGGTAAGAGGATGGCTGGAACCCAGGAATTTGAGTTTGCTGTGATGCCACTGTACTCTACCCAGGGCAACAGAGTGAGACTGTCTTTTAAAATCATGTATAACATGAACATAATTATTAATAAAAATACACATACAGAGTAATAGTTAAGAGTAGGCTTAAGGCTGGCAGTGAGCATTGGCTCACACCTAATTCCAGTGCTTTGGGAGGCTGTTGGTGAAGGACCGCGTGAGTCCAGGAGTGCTATGAATGTACCTCTGTACTCCACCTTGAGCAACAGAGCGAGGCTCATCTTTAGAATAAATAAATAAATAGAGTAGGTTTTAGAATCAGATCTTGGTTCACATCTCTGTTATGCCTTCCTAGCTGTGTGCCTTTGAATGAAGTTTTCTCTGACTTCACTTTATCTATAAATGGGCATAATAATCAACTTCATTGTTTTTTTTTTTTATTTTTGCAGTTTGGCCAGGGCCGGGTTTGAACCCGCCACCCTTGGTATATGGGGCCAGCACCCTACTCACTGAGCCACAGGTGCAGCCCCAACTTCATAGTTTATATACATAGTGTTCAGCATGTGCATAATAAATGGCAGCAACGGGATTCATAGAAAACATACTAGATGGATCCACTGTACAGGTTAACAGAATTCTGGGTAATTTTTAAATTTCTTCTTTGTACTTTTTTACATTCTTAAAAATGTTCACAGTAAAACTTCATTAAATTTGCAAGTTAAAAAATAATTCTTTTAAAAGAGACAAGGTCTTTTTCTGTCACCCAGGCTGGAGTGCAAAGGTACAACCAAAACTCACAGCAGCCTCAAACTCCCAGGCTCAAGCAATCCTCCCACCTCAGCCTCCCGAGAAACTAGGACTACAGACTTGCATCACCATCTCAGCTCACTTTTCTTATTTTTTTTGTAGAGATGGGGCGAGTCTCACTGTGTTCCACAGGCTGATCTCAAGTTGACTTGTAAAGATCCTCTAGCCTTGACCTCCCAAAGTGCTAGGGTTACAGGGGTGAACCATGGCACCCAGCTAAAACATAATTTTTAATTTTAAAAAATGGCCAGATATCTAAGTTCAGGATATATATCTCAAGGAAACTCACTTTATTCCTGAGAAAAGGAATAAAACAAAGCAACGACACACAAAAAACAAAAGAGTGGAAATTTTTACCAAATGAGGAAAGCCTGGTGAAAGAATAAAAGCATGGAAGTTTTAACAAAACTCCAGTGGCTGTGTTCTTGTCGTCTTTCCTCTGCTGTGGGCACCCACTAACAAGGCAGTGGCAGGCTGTGACCAGGGACCAATATAACGTAAGTCCAGTGGGACCTTAGTTCTGGGGGCAAAGGCTGCAGAACTACAAGAACTGCTAACAGCTGGGATTTATAAACACAGGCAAGTGACTGTGTCCTGATCCAGGACCTGTGAGCTCAGGTGAAAGTTCCAAGAGTTCACAGTGGGTGTAAGTTAACATGTAATCAAATTAGAGACCCTTCCCCAGTGGTGGTGAAGAATTTTACAGAAAACTTTACCTTTTCTTCTGGGCATGGAGTTATCCATGACTTGCATTTGCCTGTTATGTCACCAAGGGTGATGTGTTTGCCATTATATATATAAACACGACCATCTTCTCCCCCAATCAGTCCGGAAGTTACATCTGCTATCCTCAGTGGGGCTGCCATGATGACTTCATCTGTAAATAATACAAACCATCAGAAGGAAGTGTCTGATTCCTCACTGTCATCCTTCCTTGTTCCACTACTGGGTCCTAACCCGAGCTCCTGCAAATATTAGTGTCTCCTTTGAGTAACGTGCCCTGATTTCATCCTGGCAAAAGTCAAAGCCTTTTGCTTTCTATTTTGTCACTCATCAATAGCAATTATCATGGGTGACTCTCACGTTACCATCTTCAAGAAGTGCAACTCACTCTTGTACATCCAGCTCTGGTCTTACCTGATTCAAAATCTATCTAAAGATCCTAGGGCCACTGGGCTATTGATAGGCAGAGCCTCTAGGTTTTCCAATTAGGAGACTGGTCCATTGGGCAAACGGACTCCATTCTTGGCCAACGACCCTGCTCCTTTCTTACCTAAGCCATCATTATCCAGGTCACTCAAGTGAAGAACTCCACCAAATCGAGAGAAGCGGCGGTCTCCACTGAAGGTGCTGAGCAGGGGAGGCTGTGTGTCAGATGTGAGCGCATACATCCGCGTGGTTCCACCTTGATGCAAGGTCATGGTCAGGAAGGCGATTTTAGACACGTCATCTGAAATGAACCACAGTACCTGCCGGCATCACAAGAATGAAGCTGAAGGGCACTGAACGGAGTCCTATTGTGGCTTTGTGCTGTGGACCTCAAATGATGCAGATCACTCAGAATTCTATGGGACAGGGAGTTTTGGGGCTAGTCAGCTCTGACAGTTAGGGAGGCACAACTAGGTTGGGTACCAACAGTGAACACTGGAGGAGCTCAATAATTTCCCTTCAAATGGTGTTCCTTTTTCTGGTCTTTCCCCCTCTAATATATTCTCCACACAATCACCATTTTTTGGCTTTTTCTATTTTTTTGTAGAGAGAGGTCTCAGTCTTGCTCAGCCTGGTCTTGAACTCCTGGCCTCAAGCAATCCTCCTGCCTCAGCCTCCCAAAGTGCTAGGATTATAGGCATGAGTCCCTGCACCTGGCCATTTCTTTCTCTTATATCACAAAGTGCCTGTGTCACTCCCCTGACTCACACATCTAAATGTTAATGGACTTCACACTTCACAAAGCCTTATTCAATCTAACTCTTCTTACATTTCCAGCGATATTTCAGGCCACCTTCCCCCTTCACCCACACTTTGTCCATAATTAACCACAGCCCATTATATTTCATAAATCTGGGCCTTAAAACATGATGTGTTTCTGCCTGGAATAGATACCCTTCATTGACACCCCTCGAGCTGTATGTTCACAACCCTGCCAGCTATTCCTGCTTATCACTCAGAATTTGGCTCAGGTGTCCCCTTGTCTAGAGTAGGTGCCACTAACTTGTGCTCCCGTACTGTGCCCAGTGCCTTCCTAGTACCCATCATAGGACAGTATCATTTTCTGTTCACTTCTGGGTCTCCTGCTTCGGGCTGTCAATTCCATAAAATTCCATAAGTGATGAGCACATATCCTTGTCTTTCCATCCACTGGACCTAGCATGTAGCTTGGTTCCATACAAGCACTCCATAAGTGTTTTTTTTTTAATTTCAAATTAATATGAGGGTACAAATTTTTAGGTTTTATTGTTCTCACTTCCAAGGTAAAGTTCAAGTTGTAGTTGACTCCTTCACCAAGGGGGTGTGCTGAACGTTTTTTGAATTACCATATTTTGAACAAATTCAAAACAAATCTGTTAGATTTCTGCCTACAAACATGATCCTTTCCTTGTATTTTTGCAAACTTCCATAAGAAGCATGATTCACTGTTATAATCTGGGAGGAAGTAGTTTTACATTGTTTTTTAAAACTCTCTTTCACATAAAGTAAACACAATAATGGTTTATTAAAATATGTCCTCAGGGTGAACCTATTCCTCTTAAACTGATTTATTAAATTCTTCTCTGTCTCTAACCTCAATAACACAAGGACTTTAAAAACCTACTGAGTTGGCAGGGCATGGTAGCTCACGAGTGTAAATCCCAACAGTCTGAGAGGCCGAAGTGGGTGGATTGCCTGAGCTCAGAGGTTCAAGACTAGCCTGAGCAAAAGCAAGACTCCCATCTCTAAAAACATCCAGGTGTTTTGGCAGGCACCTATAGTCCCAGCTCCTTGGGAGGCTGAGACAAAAGAATCTCTTGAGCCCAGAAGTTTGAGGTTGCTGTGAGCTGTGATGCCACAGTACTCTACTGAGGATGACAAATAAGGCTCTGTCTCAAAACAAAAAACATACTGAGTTACTTTTATGTGTCATTTTAAAAAATCCTCTGAAATTGATATTTATAATTCTTATTTTGCAGACGGTGATAACAAAAGTTCAAAGAGGTTAACTAACTTTCCCCAAAATGACACAGCTTGCCATTAATGAAAAAAAGGAGTTTAAACCCAGATTTATCTGGGTCCAGATCTTATAGCTTTCCCCCAATACAACATGATCAAGGAGCCATGTGACTAAAACAAAGCAAAGTTTCTGGGTACTTGACGTACCTCGAGTTGGTGCCCCAACCAGCAGCACCTGTGTCAGCATCTCATTTATCATGACATGGCCACTAGACAGGGAAGTGCCCAGTTTTCCCATCGCCTGTGAAATGCAATAAATCAATGTTGGATAGCAGTGAAGGCTTCCCTGGGAGCGTCCACGCACCCCGGGAGGAAGGAATTACCATACCTTGTCTCCAGAAATGGTAAACCAGCTTTGGCGATTTGGGGGGAAGTAGCCATACACCCTCCCAAGACTCTTCTCGTCACCACTGTGGAATGAACGGCCCAGTTTAGAATGAAGCACACTGTTGCCGGGGCACAGGATTAAGAGGTATTCAGGTCCAAGGAAAGGAAATGCACCTCACCCCAGCCAGGCCTCCCTATGCACCCTCTGTCCCCGTGATCCTGGATCTGAAAGTATGGGGAGTGTCAGAGTTAACCCCAGCATCCAGGGTCTCCAGATGTTGTGCCAACCATTCTCCCTCCTGACTAGCAGCAAACACAGGGATGCCTACTGCTATGGGCGGGACACCGTTTCCCCCAAATTCCTGTAGCATCTCAGAAGGTGACTGCATTTAGAGACAGGGTCTTAAAGCAGGTAATTAAGGTAAGAGGTCATTGTGGTGGGCCCAAATTCCACATGACTGGTGTCCTCACAAGAAGAGATGAGGACACAGCCACTCAGAGGGAAGACCACATGAGGACACGGGTAGAGATGGTCATCTGCACACCAAGCGGAGAGGCCTCCAAGGAAACCAGCCCTGCCAACACCCCCATCTTAAACTTCCAGCTTCCAGAATTGTGCGAAAATAAATTTCTGCTGTTTAGCCCCCTCAGTCCGTGGTACTTTGTTATGGCAGCCCACGCAAACACATACACTCTCATCTGTCATCTGTCTAAATGTCTAAGGGTATTTTGCAGGCTTGCCCCAGTCTTAGCTTTTCCTTGGAAAGGTGTGAATTTCTCAGCTGTGTTTCCTGATCCCCACACTTCGTGGGCTCTGCAGCAGCCGGCACTTGCCCTGTGCCCACTGGTCCCAGCCCCATACCAGCCTCACCTACTGGTCTTCCTCCAGGTCGGGCTGCCCACCAGCAGCAAGGTTCTGTTGTCTACACTGGTGCTGTGAAGGGAGTATCCAAACCAGGCGAAGTCCTCCTCACCTCGCACCATCCAATCAGCTGCGTCCACGGCCAGCTTTGCTAAAGAGATGACCAGTCCCTTTTACTTTAACTGGGCTGGAAAGAATGAATTCTTTTTGTAGGCTAATGAGAAATGGGTTTATCTGCTGAGTTTCTTCCAGAACTCTCACATGGCCCCATGCTGACCCTTAGCACCCTGCCATCACAGATGGATCTCATACTTCGTACAAGAAGCATGTTTCTAAAGCGCACTTCTGTGGAGCGAAGGATGCTATTTTATTTATTTTTTTTCTTTTTTATACTGTGAACATAGAAGGATGCTATTTTAAAAGGCACTTCTTGGGACAGTCAGGAGCACCATAAGGAAGTTTTTGGTCCTAATCTTCTGTGTCTCTGTTTTACACAGAGACACTATGGAATAGCCTATGGGTCTTCTTTGGATCTGGATCAAGAAGTTGGGTCACTTTTTGTATATTCAGTGAGTCTATCTCTAACAGTAAGAGACTGTTGGAAAATGTTGGTGAAATGGTAGGGAATGAAGGGAAAGGACGTAAACAAATACACAGAAGAAGTCATTGCAGACACACGCAGAGCAGAGGGGCTCTGTCCATTCCCCTCATCAGACACTACCTTTGTTGCTCTGGCTGGGGCCAGAATAAAATGCAGCCACAATTCCCCTCTGCTTCCCTCCAGCTGGTGCAAAAGGGGAGCCAATCACCAGATCAGGCCTGCTGTCTCCATTGACATCTGCAGCCAAGAGTGTCCAGCCCAAGTTACAGTAGACGGCCTTAAGAGGAAACCAGGAAAGCATGTTTTACCCAGCGAGTTCTAGATTTCTGCACCTAGCTAAGATCACAGACATACCTGGCAAGAGATAGTGATGTTAGGGGAAGAAGACATTCTTCCTCGTTTGGAACCAAAGTAGATGTACACAGCACCCTAGACGAAAACAGCAAGCAGACCGACCATGAGGCTCGGGTATTTGCCTGAGAGCCTTAAAGTGACAATCATTCCCAATGTCTAGAAACTTAAGGACCAACAGAAACCCATCCTGTGCATTGCCACTGGGCTGAGTTTTTTTTAAAGCCTGCCACTTCCTCTGACCATTAAAACATAAACAAACAAATAAATAAAGCCTGTCATTTCCATCAGTCTCTGAGAGCCCCCATAGTAGAAACCACATCATCTTCCTCCTTGGCTCTCCAGGATCCTGCCCAGGATGCAACACACATGATTGTGCAGTGTGTTTGCAGAATGACTGACTCAATAAGTTCTGGCTCTTCCATGGGGCCAGCCCTGCCCTGGCCCACTGTACCTCAGAACACTAGCACACTGCATGTCCGAGGACACATGCTGTGCCATCATTCTGTGCCATGAATCAGTTCCTCTCACTGCTTGCCTGTCTCCATCTCCATTCATTCAATAAGCATTTCTTTTCCATCATGAGCCAGGTACTGGGTACACAAAGACAAGTAAGACCAATCTCTATCCTGCAAAGCTGGCAGACAAGTGATTACAACACCGCAGTGTAGAAGGGGTTACAATAGATGCAGGCGTGGGATGCTACTGAGGACAATTAGCTGGGGCTTCACTGGGGGTTAGGCGACACTTCCTACAAGAAGGGACATGTCACTCCTAAAGAAAGAGAGAATGGGCTTTTCAGGTAGAGGAAGCTGTATGAGCAAAAGTCCTAAAGTGACAGAGCCTGCCAGGTTTAGGAAGTGACAAATGGTTGGTGTGTCCAGGAGAGAAGTATAGGGAGGACAGGGCAGGAGGGGCCTGCACAAGGAGCAGGCAAGGCAGAGCCTTTGATTTCATGGTCACACAGGTGCCCGGACACTTGAGCCCTGCTGTGGTATGAAGTACATGTGGGAAGAGGGCGCTGGGGGCCACGGCCCAGGACCTCTGCCTCGGTAAGACAGCAGGTAACAGGCTGGGTTCCAAGCAAGATAGGAAAGGACTCCAGGAAGTTACCTCCTGCCGTGAGGACCAGAAGCTACTGATTAGTGGGATTTCTGCCTCCCTCCACTGGCAGTCAGCATCATGGGGGAGGAAAAAAGAGCAAAGTACCTGGTGGAATTGGGAAACTTTGAGGCTGAAGTAAGGCCAAAGAGGCAGGAACCGGTGCTACAAGATACCCCAAGGCCACGACAAGGACACACCAACACTCTGCCTGGCGTGCTGGCTGTCTGCTTTATTCCAGGGGCTCCCCCAGCACTGGCCTCCCTCAGGACCCCTTCTGCTCCCCACTTCCCCCACTTACGTTGTAAGTGAGCTGGTCGGAGGCCACCGAGGGAGCTCCCACGGCCAGGTCAGGAACGCCATCCTTGTTAAAGTCCAACACAGCTAAGGCCGAGCCAAACCGACCTGAGGGCTGAAGAGGCACAAGTTAATCCCTTGGGGCTAAGCCTCAGGTTTCAGAAGAGCAGGCCCCACTCTCTGGGGACAGAGAAGGCCTGGGGACCCCCCCACCCCATCACCCAAAGGCCAAAGCATAACATTGTGGCAACACATCAGTAGCAGTAGCATAGCTCTGCCCCGAAGACATTTTTGGCATGTGGGCCTTGAGGGGAAACAGAGGTGCCAGAAAGAAAAGAGTCGATATAGTCTGCACTGCACGAAGCATCAAACTCATCTTTGAAAGAATCTGAAATAAGAATTGCATAACAGCAGCCATAGCAGCTAACATATACTGAGTACTCAGGATGTTCTTAAGTCGTACTGTTGCAGGTGGTTGCTACTAGCTAAATAATCAACATTAAATAAATGCACTCAGCTCCTCTGTTGCAATGGCTGCATTTCTGTAGTTCATGGCTCCCACAGCAGGCAGCACAGGCGGAGAACATTCCCATCATTGCAGGAACTGTCCTAAGCACTTTTGTGGATTAAGGTTGGCATTATCCCCATTTTCAGTTTACAGATGGAAAGCTCTGTCTCTTCAGTACAATTTTCATCCAAGGTGAATTTTCTAGCTCTTTCTTGTCCTACTATCTAGAATCAGCCTAGACTTAAAAGTAATTTGTTAGATTCCTCAATCCTTTCACAACTTAACAATGAATAGCCTTTCACATGATGGTGCTTGCGACATAAGACACATGCCCTCATCCCCCCATCCATTATACGTTGGCTAATATCTCCACACCCATGTGCAATGGCTTCTGTGAGCACTGCCCCTTTCTACAAGGCAGAAACTTGACAAACAAGAGAAGACTGCTTGGAGACACAAAGCATGGCAGGGTGGGGACTAATAACCACTGAGGACCAGTTCATTTCATCACCATCAGAGGCTGCATCTTCCAGCCCTTCTGCAGGTCAGCCAAACACTTCCAGGAAGCAGGAAATTCCTCATTCTCCATGGTACAGATGAGGACTCAGGGAGTTTTACTGCAGCTTGAGCCAGAACGTATGTCTATGCCTTAATCTTGCCATCATCTAAATTATTGAAGATCAGTGGGGGAGAAGGGCACGTAGCCACCTCCTCCCTCGTCCCAGTGGAGATGATGAGATGATGAGAGAGCTGCCTCTCTCATTCCCTGCCTATATGAGCCCCAAGGATTAGACTTTACATAGCGGTCTGACAGGAACAGCTTTGTAGGAAGGTTAGAAGCAAGAGCATTGGATAGGTTTATTTTAGAAATTTCTTGTAGAGTGTCAAAAGGCTCCTCAAAATGCTGTCCCTCTGGGACCGTGTGACTGTACCAGTCACCATTCTGTACATGTTGGACTCAAGGCTCCTTTCACTACAGCCTAAACTAGATCATAAGCCATTGTACTTTTCATTTTTTTAAGTATGGTCAGATGTGCCATATCGTCTCTTTTCCTCGTGGCATTCACTTCATAATGCAAGGTTAAGTGACTTGCCCAGAACAAGAACCACGATCTGACCCCAACTGTAAGGTTCCTTCTTCTGGTACTTGATACTCAGAGCCTGCAGTGCCAGGCTAGTGTCACCCAAAGCTCCCACACTCCTCTGTGACTGGCAGTAGGGCTCGTCTGCCCCTTCTTCTTGCTGCTGTAAGGACTAATACCTCTGGTGTTTAGAAACTCTAGTACTACCAAGAAAAGAGTTAATGCTCAGACTCTGTGAGAAACATTTGAGCAATCATTGCAGATTTTTTCTGAGGATGAATAACCACTTAAACTAAGGAATAAAATCTGGGTGGCACATGTGGCTCAGTTAGTAGGGTGCTGGCCCCATATACTGAGGGTGGCAGGTTCGAACCTGCCCCGACCAAACTGCAACAAAAAATAGCCAGGTGTTGTGGCAGGCGCCTGTTGTCCCAGCTACTCACTCAGGAGGCTGAGGCAAGAGAATTGCTTAAGCCCAAGAGCTGGAGGTTGCTGTGAACTATGACGCCACGACACTCTACCAAGGGTGACAAAGTGAAACTCTGTCTCTTTAAAAAAAAAAAAAAAAGTAAAAGAAAAAAAAGAATGAAATCTGAACATAAGTCTAGAGTTTATTTAGTAGCAATGTACCAGTGTCAGTTTTTTATTTTTGAGAAATATACCATAAATATGTAAGATGTTAACATAGGGAAAATAGATAAGGGTATATGAGAACTCTTTACACTGTCTTTACAACTTCTCTGTGACCCTAAAATTCTTACAAAGGTTTATAAAGAGGTTTTGTATTATCAAGAAATAATATTCCATTTGGCCACTCAAAGTGTGAGTTCTAAACAGCAGGCATGTTCCTGGTAGACATTAGATAAAACACTCAGAGTTAATGAGATTAATGACATGAACGGAATTTGAAAAATAAAAAGTGCTACAGGCATGCAGGTGACCAGCTGTTCGTTATGGTAATTATTCCGGATATTGTTATTCATCTTGGAGAATCTGCCTCGCAATGCAAGCAGGGGCTTACTGACCACTGAAAGAGAGAAAGTGTGAGATGATGTCTTACCTGGAATCCCTCGAGGATCTCATTGGCCTCCTTGTCGAGGTCCAGGTCAACGGGGGGCAGGCCAAGGTCACTGCCATAGACAAGGTACACGCGCCCAATCTGTATGTGGCCAGTGCGGCTATAACCGGGTGCACCCACTATCAGGTCATCGTACCCATCCTGGTTGAGGTCAGTCGAGGTCATTGTCCTTAGGGAAGAGGAGGGTCCCACTGATGAACCCACTGAGCACTAGGGTTAACACTGTCTCCTGTTTCTTTTCTAGACCCAATGCTTTAGCTTGCTCCCTGATTTTTCCATCTTGCATGACTGTTGTGAATGTTCACTTCTGAGGCTGTGTTGTTTGTGTGATTTAGTCTCACTTTCTGGTGGGGGAAAACAAAACAAAAATGGATAAATCAAGGCCTCTGAGCATTTCTGGATCACAACCTGAGCAGATGAAAACTATCCTCACCAAGCATCAGGTCTTAAATGCAAAACCCTGAGGACCCAAAGAACAATCCAGGGCTCGTCCTGAGAACACAGCGAAAATTCACATCTAGCCAAGCCTCTCCCGCCAGTGGGGCAGGCCACTTTTGGATCTGCTCAATGCATTTCAATTTCCTGATCAAAGACAAGCTTGTGTTAAATGGGCTGTTGACTCTGACTACATCTACAGAGGGTGCCTGGGATTGGGCCAACTTGAGTGTCCAGTGTATTTAGTGGATGGGCATAAATGTGAAGCCATGACCTAAAAGTTATAGTGGGGCCAAGCCAAGTCAAAGGTTCAAATGTCACTACCAGGGCTGGAAAGACCAAAAGTCATTTGTTTATTTTAGTTCTTATCGCTACATAAGGAACAAATGGCAGAACAGAGGGAAATAGAAAGAGGAGTTTCTCAAGGCCATGGTGCTGCGGGAAGGCTAGGCACCTGGGGGAGCCGGGGATGTTCTCTGCCTCCCGAGGCTGACACTGGCCAGTACAGTCATAGGGAAGGCCCTGAGGACAGCCAGCCCTGCAGGAAGGCCTTTTGGGTCTCTCAGGAAGGCAGCTTAGAAGATCCATTACTTGTAAGTCCAATAAAGCTAGCATTTACCCTCCACCACCTGTGCTAGAGCTAAGTTAGTGGCCCCAAAAGGAAAAGCTATGGAGAAATTATTGAGAGGGAATGAAATACCTCTCGGGTTTAAAGAGTGCAGTTTAAAAAAAAGTCTTCGCCAAAACCTCCAGAAAAGTCACCTGGACTCAGTTTTGGTTGAATTTTAAAATCAAAGAAATCCCTTAACATTCTCTTTATAAAATTAGTGTGATATGCCAGGCTTTTACCATATGAAGTTACAATATTCAAATCACTATAACAGCTATCTGCTTATAAGTATATCTTTCTAATGTCTGATACATTAGATACATGTATCTAATGTTTTTAGATTGCAAAAAAAAAATAAAGTAATAACTCCACGAATATCAGAGCTTCACATATATTCTATGGAAATTTACTCTATAAATAATTCCAACTTTATTGTGATTATTTAGTAAAGTGAAAGCTCTTTGTACTTAAATATATTTATGTGACCACCTTTCAGGAGATCATGCCATCTTTACAATAACCACTAAATCAATGCTTGTGTTGATGATGAACTGATTGGAAAATAAGGTGCTAAGATGCATGATTTTAAAAAGTTGTTGAATGACTGAATAAAATGAAAACATTCACAAGTTAGTAAACGTATACATACCACCCAAGCCTTGCGTAGGGAACTGACAGAAAGTAAGATGCTACGGGAGTGGAAACATACTTCTGTGACTCCTGAGAGTCACCTGTAAATATTATCTTTAGGTTCCTTTCCAAAGCCTGGTACATAAAGGATACAGAATCCTGAAATTAAAAAAAAATTGTTATGAACAAAAAAAGACACATAGCATAATCAACAAAACCACTATTTCCAGTTAAAACTATTGGATTTTTGTGGTGGAAACAAGTTTTGACAAGTGCTTAAAAAAAAATTAATCCCTATCAACAATAAGATCATTTAGGACAGGCAATTATACAGTAGAATAGTACCCCAAACTTACACTGGGGGATGGCAAATTACAGCCTGAGAAGTCAGGGCCAGCATGAAAGAAAGGATTAGCTAGGACTTATCCCACACCGACTAAGTTGGGATGGTCTGTACTGATTTGTAGAACCTAATGGAACAAAACAATTTTTATGGAGTAAACATCTTTAAAAGATAAGTTCATTTGATCTAGAACTCTATAATTTTATTTGTGAATATATCCTTCTTTCCCCTGATGAATAAACTGGAACACCACCAGGACGCCAAAAATACGCTCTAAACCACATCCAAATGGAGATGCTGCTGGTTTTGCTGCCAGGCAAGCATGAGAAGTCATCTACAGAGTGCTGAGAGCTGGAGAATTTGGGAGACAACAAGAACCTCTGCCTGGGATGCGAATTGTTCTTAATATAGTTACTGCAGAGACACAAATGCAGCCTGGCGTAGCCCTGAGCAAGCTAGCTAGGCCCTAGATCCACCCAAGTTAAAGGGATACCAACTCTAAATCTATCCAAGAGTGACATGAACTCAGACCATACTTCTCAGGCCTGCTCCAGAACACAGCAGAATTGCCCCCAGACAGACCAGGCTCTGTAGAAGCACAGGTCATGACGATCCTACAGATAATCCTGCCTTCTAACCCTACTCACCCTACCCCCACCAACTGGCTGCCTGTCGATTGCTCATCCTCATGCCCAGCTCTGCCTGGCTCAATCATCTAGGAAGCATTTAATCAGCTCCTATTGTATGCCAAGCACCATAAAAGACACTGGGAATATAAAGTCTCTTCATATTTTTTTGCAAAGGAGATAAATCCAGATATGGAAAGACAAAATGATACATACTTTGATAGGGGTTCCCAGATCCAGGACTGGCTGTGTAATTTAAGGAGGTCAGCACACAATAAAAGGATGGAGCCTTTTGCTCAAAAATTAGGAAAAGTCTTAAGGCAGCAACAGCAGAGCATTAGCCTAATGGACCTTCTGTGTGACCACACAGGTTGCACACCCACAAAGCTGCCCCTGCACACCTCCCAGCACACCATTCACACGGCTGCCTAGGCCTTCCTCCTCATACTCAAAGCCCACCACAATCCAGTGTCTATTTACCTTCCCAAGCCTCTCGCAGTCCCTCTTATCTCTTGTCTTGGGTTCCAAGAAAACAGATACCCCAACATCCTGAAATTTCCCCAGTCAACTACCAAGATGTCTTCTCTCACGGATGAAATGCTATCTACTGTTCTGGCCCAACTCAAATGCTACTTCCTCCACAAAGCCTTCTCTGATGGCCCCCAGGATACAAATTTTCTCCCTGCTGTCCAATGATCCCCTTACCTCACCACAGTATTTGCTGCATTCTACTCATATAATGGTAATTTTTGTATTTGTTACCCTTATTAGACCGAAATTTTCTTTTTTCCCTTGCTACAGGGTCTTGCTCTGTCACCTGGGCTGGCATGCAATCCTCCTGCCTCAACCCTTCAAGTAGTTTTTGTTTTTTGTTTTTAAGAGATGGGGGTATCAGTCTGTCATTCAGATTGGAGTACAGTGGAACAATTAGCTCACTGCAGCCTCAAAATCCTGGGCTCAAGTGATCCTCCCGCCTCAGCCTTCCAAAGTGCTAGGACTATAGGCATGCATGCACCCCCATGCTCAACTAGGCTGAAATTTTTTGAAGATCAGAGTCTATTTCCCTTTCTTTTTATATCTCCCACTAGATTCTCTTCACTTAAAAGATGACCTCAGGGATAAATTTCATGTGCAACACTGTCACAGAGTCTGGGTCACCTTGGGCTCCAGACTTTCCAGAGTCACTGAGGTTTGTCTTTTTTTTTTTTTTTTTTTCAAAGGAGACAAATCCAAATAGGGCAGGACAAAATGATATGTGCTTTGTTAGAGGCTCCCAGGTCCCAGGGTGTCTGTGGAACAAATCACATTTATAGGCCAAGGGTATTGGCCAGTCTAGCACATGCTCCCCACGGGACTTCCCACGGATGACTCAAAGCAAGGGGTTCTATAAGACAAGATTTCACAATAAGCAGCATGCTCTTCTTTGTCAATTTAAAGCAGAAAATTCTTACCGGTGTCCAGGAATCCACACTAAAGAACACTCCTCTGTCAGTATAGTTTAAGTTTCTTTCAATATCTTTAATTAGGGATGAAGTCAAATTTCTGTGAAAATCATTTTTCTGCACTTTTGAGCTATTAAAGAGAGAGGAACAAACTGGATAAGACTGAGAAAACAACCAACCCCCTGAATAACTGAGCTGAAGAAGGTAGACCAAGTGAATCACATGTTGAAAGACCAGTAACATTTTAACATCTGAAGGTTGAAGGAACGAACGCAAAATTAGAAAAACTGCATTCCACAAAATCTTTCAGTTAATACACGCACATTTCCAAGGCCCTTATAAAAATTATTTCTTAGGCTGGGCTCAGTGGCTCACACCTGTAATCGTAGCATTCTGGGAGGCCAAGACAGGTGGATTGCTTAAGTTCAGGAGTTCTAGACCAGCCTGAGCAAGAGCTAGACCCATTTCTAAAAATAACCAGGCATTGTGTTGGGCACCTGTAGTCCTAGGATGCTGAAGCAAGAGGATCACTTGAGCCCAGGAGTTGGAGTTGGAGGCTGTGAGCTGTGACACCAGGGCACTCTACCATGGGTGACAAAGTGAGACTCTGTCTCAAAAAAAACAAACACACACACACACACATATATATTTCCTATAGCTTCAAAGTTTTACAATGGGAAGAAAAGGCTTGAATTCATTCCATATTAAAACAATTAAACTGCTATGAATATTTCACATAAAAGGTTAAGAAACAGGTACATAGCTGGTGGAGAAACTGGTATGCAGGAATACAGATTCATCTGTTATTGTTTGGGGGATTTTTTTTTTTTTTTGAGACAGTCTTACTCTGTGCCCTGGGGTTGAGTGCTGTGGCATCCTAGCTCGCAGCAACCTCAAATTTTTGGTTTCAAGTGATTCTCTGCTGCAGTCTCCCAAGTAGTTGGGACTACAGGCAGCCTCAAAAACATCCAGCTATTTTTTAGAGACAAGGTCTCATTCTTGCTCAGGCTGGTCTTGAACTCCTGAGCTCAGAAGATCCACTCAGAACTCCACTCACCTCAGCCTCCCTAAGGGCTGGGATTACAGGCATGAGCCACCACACCAGGCTTGGGGTTTTTTGGGTTTTTTGTTTTTGCTTTTTTTGAGACAGAGTCTCACTATGTCACCCTCGGTAGAATGTGGTGGCCTCAAACTCAAACTCTTGGGCTTAAGCAATTCTCTTGCCTCAGCCTCCTAAGTACCTGAGACTACAGGTGCCCCTGCAATGCCCGGTTATTTTTTTGTTGTAGTTGTCACTGTTTAGCTGGCCCAGGCTGAGTTTGAACCTGCCAGCTTGTGTATGTGGCCAGCGCCATAACCAGTGTGCTAGGGGCACCGAGCCATGTTGCTGTTATTTTTGAGACAGGGACTTGCTCTATCACCCAGAGTGCAGTATAATGGCACAATCATAGCTCACTGTAATTCCAAACCCCTGGGCTCAAGCTATCCCCTTGCCTTCACCTCCCAAATAGCTGGGATAACAGGCACCTGCCATGTGCCCAGCTAATTTTTGTAGTTTTTGCAGAGACAGGGTATCACTTTGTTGCCCAGGTTTGTCTTGAACTCCTGGCCCCAAGCAATCCTCCTGCCTTGGCCTCTCAAAGTGCTGGGATTAGAGGAGTAAACCACCATGTCTGATCCTGATTTATCTTTAAAGATCAATTGAGAAATGAAGATGAAACAAACTATTCTACTGACAGTAGACAACTGTCCTGGCTACCTGAAAATGAATCATCTCATAAACATGGCACTGAAATTTCTGCCTCTAAACACAGCCTCAAAATTCCAACCTCTTGACCAAGTCATCATTAAAACAATTGATGGCTGAGCCTAGCTCCCACAGTATGCCTTTATTAAAACACAAACCACGGCACTGCATCAGTTCTCACACTGGATGCTGTGGTCTAAATTGGTTCTGCTTGGAATGAAGTCTAGCCAAAAATGACACAGAAGTGCTCCAGGAAGGTTGGATTTGTCTCAACCCAAGAACATGATATTTTGGCCCCATCAGTTAGTCCACCTCCTGTAGCAGAATTCAAAAGAGCAGGTTTGGAAGGTTTTGCTGCAATGGATGATGAGGTGGTAACTTGTAATGAACCTGACCTAGGAGCAATTTTCCAAGCGATATTGAGCAAAGTGCAAACCAGCATAAAAGTGAATGAAGCATGGGCAGCACCTGTGGCTCAGTGAGTAGGGTGCTGGCCCCATATACCAAGGGTGGTGGGTTCAAACCCAGCCCCGGCCCAACTGCAACCAAAAAATAGCCGGGCATTGTGGCAGGAGCCTATAGTACCAGCTACTTGGGAGGCCGAGGCAAGAGAATCGCCTAAGCCCAGGAGTTGGAGGTTGCTGTAAGCTGTGATGCCATAGCATTCTACCGAGGGTGACATAATGAAACTCTGTCTCAAAAAAAAAAAAAAAAGATCCAGAGGAAACTTATCAATGGCAATTATAACTTTATAAAGTGCACGTCAGGTTCAGCGCCTATAGCTCAGTGAGTAGGGCACCAGACACATACACCAAAGCTGGTGGGTTCAAACCCGGCCTGGGCCTGCTAAACAACAATTACAACTGCAACCAAAAAATAGCTCGGCATTGTGGTGGGCACCTGTAGTCCCAGCTACTCGGGAGGCTGAGGCAGGAGAATCACTTAAGTCCAAGAGTTTGAGGCTGCTGTGAGCTGTGATGCCATAGCACTCTACCAAGGGCAACATAATGAGATGGTCTCAAAAACAAAAAAAGTGCATGTCTTAAATAATAAGACTTGAAAGTCAAAATTACTCCTTGATTCACAGGCTACAGAACAGATGCTGTATTAGCAGGCATGACAACATCCACCTCCTTGTACATCTCCATTAGAGCTCTTGGGTGATGGTGTTTATTCTCAATGAGCAATAACATTTTGAAAGAAATATTTTTTTTCTATGCAGTATGTCTCAATAGTAGGCTTAAAATATTCAATAAACCATGCTGTAAAGAGATGTAGAGCATAGGCAAAATACATTTAGCATAATTCTTAAGGGCCCTAGGATTTTTAGAATGGCAAATGAGTGTTGGCTTCAACTTTGAGTCACCAGCTGCATTATAATACAATAACAAGAGAGTCAGCCTGTACTTTGAAGCCACATATTGACTTTTAACTACAAACATCTTAGAGGGCATCTTCTTCAAACAGAAGGCGGTTCCATCTACAGTGAAAATCTGTTTAGTGTAGCCACCTTCATTACTGATCTCAGCTCGTCTCCAGGGTCATAGGCTGCAGCTTTGCCATCAGCACTTGCTGCTTCACCTTGCACTTTAATGTCATGGAGATGTTTCTTTTCTTAAACCTCATAAACCAGCTCCTGGTACCTTCAAAACTTTCCTTCTGAAACTTCTTCATCTCTCTCAGCCTTCAAAGGATTGAAGAGAGGTAGGACCTTGCTCTGGATTAGACTTTGGCTTAAGGGAATGTTGCAGATCGTTTGATCTTCTGTCCAGACCACAGAAACTTTCTCCATATCAGTAATGAGGCTGTTTCACTTGCAATCTCTCGTATGTTTATGGGAGTAGTACTTTAGTTTCCTTCAAGAACTTTTCCTTTGCATTTACAATTTGGATGTTTGAAGAAACCTAGCTTTCGATCTATCTTGGCTTTTGACATGCCTTCCTTGCTGACCTTATAATTTCTGGGTTTTGAATTAAAGTGAGAGACATGTGACTCTTCCTTTACTTGGATACTTAGGAGGCCACTACAGGGCTAGTGATTGACCTAATTTTAATATTGTTATGTCTCAGGGAATAAGAAGGCCCAAGGAGAGTGACAGAGGTGGAGGAATAGCCAGTCCATGGAGCAGTCAGGACATATAATATTTACCAGTTAAGTTCACCATCTCATATGGGTGCGATTCATGGCACCCCAAAACAATTAAAATAGTAACATCATTGATCACAGGTCACCATAACAGATATAATAATAATAAAAGTTGAAATTATGAGAATTAAATTATAAGTAACAGAGACATGAAGTGAATACATGCCAATGGAAAAATGTTACTAATAGCCTTGTCCAATGTAGGTTACCACAAACCTACAGTTTATAAAAAGAGCAGTCTCTATGAAGCACAATGAAACAAAGAACAATAAAACAGGGTATTCCTGTTAATAATATTGATAACATTATTGAATTAATGAATGGTTGTTGGTACCTGGCTCCAGCAGGAGATATCACCTCTTATAATACGAATCAGGCTTTATGGCATTCTTCCTAAGCAATTACCAGAAAGGGCTCTTCCCACCCTGTTTTTGTTGTTGTTGTTGTTGTTTTTTGAGACAGAGTCTCACTCTGTTGCTCTAGGCTAGAGTGCTGTGGCATCATCATAGTTCACAGCAACCTCAAAGTCCTGGGCTCAAGCGATCCTCTTGCCTCAGCCTCCTGAGTAGCTGAGACTACAGGTACCTGCCACAATGCCAAACTAGTTTTTCTACTTTTAGTAGAAATGGGGTCTTACTCTTGCTCAGGCTGTCTTGAACTCCTGAGCTGAAGCAATCTACCTGCCTCAGCCTCCCGGAGTGCTACAATTACATGTGTGAGACTTCTCACCCAGCCAATAAATACTTTTTCAGGGTGAAATTTGGTTTACATTTGTAAGTAACAACAAAAATAATGATAGTAATAATAACACTAACTACCAGTTAGTAAGCTACTGTGTGCTAGACATTTTACATTCACTATTACATGTGATCTGTCCCATAATTCTGAGAGCACGGATGTGGTTTTTTCCATTTTGCAAATGGAGGAAACTATGGCTCAAAAAAAAAGAAAAGAAAAGAAAATTAAGCAACTTACTTAAAAATTACCCAACTATAAATGGCAGAGCTAGAATTTAAACCTGTATGTATCTGTCCACAGATCCCACACTCTCAACCTCTACAGGGCATCTATTCCAAGGGAGATATTCTTTCTTTCTTTTTTTTTTTTTTTTTTTATTGTTAGGGATTCATTGAGGGTACAAAGAACCAGGTTACACTGATTGCCATTGTTAGGTAAAGTCCCTCTTAAAATTGTGTCCCGCCCCCAGAAGGTGTGTCACACACTGTGAAGCCCCAACCCCCCTCCCTCCTTCCCTCTCTCTGCTCTTCTCTTCCCCCACCCCCTCCCTCCTTCCCT